TACAGGGCAGGGCGGAATATGTGAGAAAGTTTTCTAGTCTCCACCTAGTTTATATAATTTACTTAATTTCAAGTATAATCCACATACACCAAGAAAGATAATTTATGTTGTTGTGTATAATTATTAAAATTAACTTGTAATTAAAATTTAATTTAAAATGGTAGAATTGCTCTTAATTCATCCACTCGTGAGAAATTTGCCTGCCATGTCAGCTAAAACATTGAGTAACAGCGAATTTGCGTCTGTTCGTAAACACTTAATGCGCACAGTCTGAGAAATGGCTGACGCATGAATTGATGTCATAAATTAAATCCGACAATTTCAAAGAAAGTAAAATTTAATTACCACTCCCTCCGGGATTATAATAAAACGTTATCGGCGCACGAACGCTTCTTCCCGGAGGGAGGATTTTCCGCCATTACAATTTCTGGACAAATGAGCTCGAGTGCAGCAGTGATGGATATTTTGTTTCAGGGCAAAGATATTTCAAAGGTTCAAACAGCGTTGGACAATTTCGGAAACCTGTGTCACCATATGGGACTGGTGTTTAATGAAAACAAAACTAAGTTTGAATGTAGAAGTCGGAGGCCCATTATATTGAAAATAAACGGTAAAAATATAGAGTTAATATATATAAATATTTAGGCATATATGTTGGATATACCCATGAGAGTTTGGAAGCTGAGATGAACAGACTGTTGGGTTAATGTCAGAAGAGATTACAACCTCTGAAGGCCTTAGCATGCTGTGGAAAGGGAGTGGGAGTCCCTGTGCTACGAATGATATACTTGAGTACTGTAAGATCTCTTATTGATTATGCTGCACCTGTCATTTCTTGTTTTGGTAAAGGTAGGATGGTCAAGTTGGAGAAGGTACAAAATAAAGCCATGAGAATTATTTTAGGATGCCCAAGAAATGCTATGATTGAGATAATGAGGATGGAGTTGATTCTGCAGAGTATTGGGGATAGAATTGCAGAGATAAATGTAGCCTCTGCCATTAGATTAATGAGAGGTGGGGGAGCTAATGAATTAATCCTCTCAGTTCAAAAGGTAGGAAGTAGTGAACAGTGTATGATGAAGAAGAGAGTATATATGAATAACTTATGTTCTAATGTTATAAAGTATCATGTTATTACAGAGTGTATTGCTGTGCCCAAGAGAAAATTCACACCACCATGGGAGGATTGTAATGTAGATGTAGTAATTACTCCCTTGCAAAAGAAAAAAAGTATGTATGAAATAGGAGAGCTGAGGGCAACATATGATTGTATAATTAGAAAACTGCCTACAGAAAACACTCTACATGTATATTGTGATGGGTCAGTAGCTAGGGATGGGAAGGCAGGATGTGGAGTCTTGATCATGGAGTACATTGACATCGGCACTGTAGATACTGTTATTGGACGCCGCTTAACTGACAATGTCTCTTCAACGCAGGCTGAACTCCAAGGAGTATTAGCAGGATTACAGGAAGTAGTCAAATGTGGTAAAAATGCTTGCTTCTTTATTGACAGCAGAGGAGCGTTAGAGTCATTAAATAGCAGACGCCCAGTATATCAGAATATTGTGATTGAGTGTAGAGAGAATGTTAAGAAATTAGAAAAAACTGGGTATAAAGTAAGATTCATGTGGATCCCTTCACATGTAGGAATACTGTTGAATGAGGTAGTTGATGCCATAGCGAAGAGAGCCACGGAAAAACTCTTGTTGATGTTGTATGTCAGTTAACCTTGAAACAAATAAAAACAAGAATCAAGATGATCCAAGAGGGTGAAGAAATGATAAAGAGAATGGCAATGGTGGACAGTAGTAACACGCTTAAGAATTATTCAATAATAAATACAAATTCGTCCTTCACTTATGGTAAAGGAAAGTCTACTGGGAAGGATTCAATTTACATGAGATTAAGATTAGGATACAAATATATCTGGTAATACGGTGTTGATGTCAGTGAAAAAGATAAGGAGTGTAAATTATGTAGTATGCCGCACGCCCACACCTTAGAACATTATGTATTAGAGTGTCAACTTATTGAAAACTATAGAAATAAGGAAATAAATAGTGTACCACATCAAATTGTTTGGATGTGTGATAATGGTATGATAGACAGTATACTTAGGAGCTACAAGAATTTTGCCCCAAGAGTGTAACACTTATATGCTGTGCTTACTATATTAACCTGCAATGTTAAATGGGATTCTTGTACTGTATGGTGATTTGTGTATTTGTACTCACTGAATTTGTGTGCCCCTTGAGGGACTTGAAGTAGAGGGGGGTAGAAATAGCCTAAGCTACTCTATCCCTTTGAGATGCATTTCTTGCTTATCTCAATAAACATACTTGAACTTCATGGCTTTTTCGTGCATTAGCGAGACTTCTTTTTTGGTTCACTGCTCACCAATATCTTCTACAATACGGGAAGTACCTTATTCCGTTTCTGATATAGTAGTTAGGATTGGCCATTCAAAATTTACTGTCACAAGTCACGGTTAGTAGGTAGGAAGACCTAAAATAACTTGTGAACGATACTATATTGTAACGTGTCGGCTGGCTGAGATCCAAATTCCGAGAAGTAAACGAGTTTGACATTGACGTTTGAAATTTACATCCCACCTCCCTTGGGGTGAAGCTTGTTGCCTCACCCCAAGGGAGGGAGGGACGCCATGTTGCCCACAGGAGCCGACGTCAAGGTCACATGATTTACGTAGTAGTCAAAACCAGGTCACTATCACGTGATAGTGGTTCACATAGTAGTACAACTAGGTCACAACGTGGTCGCGTGACAACTAGGCCACAGCACTAATTGTCTAGAGCTTGTGCGTGGGAGCACCCAGCGCATAGGTTCATGACTCCCTCAGATTTTTTCATTGTTATATCACGTTAGTGTGATTACTCTGCATATTATTATTATTATTATTATTATTATTATTATTATTATTATTATTATTAATATTATTATTATTATTATTATTATTATTATTTTTATGCATATGTTAGATTATGTTGGAAATTTTTGTATTTGCAGCAACCCGTCCTCGACTCAAGTCCATTACATACAGCGGTCGACTCCACGGACGCAGTCATTAATTTTAATATACTTTTCATTCAAAATAGTAATTTTCTCACATAAAAATTAATATTATAATATATTAGCATATTGTGCAAATATAGGTATAAGTTAGGTATTTAGGTTCTGTTGGCAATTATTTGTATTTATAGTACATGGGTGATGCATTTATAGCGTTGTGGTTCGAACAAAGTTCGTCAGTGAAGCACTTGTTCAGGAAGTGTTCGAACGAAATCAGTTGTGAGTCGTGTGGAAACTGTGTTTCATTCATAAACAGGGGGTTTGGCGGGTGCATGGAATCACTTTTGGGTCTTTGTTTAGAGGACGGGCTGATTTGCAGTACGTGGATGAAGCATTTACAGAGCTGCGATTCGAACAGAAGTCGTTACAGAAACATTATACGAGAAATGTTCGAACATCATCAGTTGTGAGACAGCCTGTCCTTCTCAAAAAAACAGCTTGTCCTCACCAACAAATGCCAAATGTTCATTAATTTAGCCGCCAAATCCCCGTTTATGAATGAAAAAAAGGTGTACACACGACTTTCAGAACTGAAGACGTTCGATCATTTCTTGAATAGGGCTTCGCTGACAACCTCTGTTTTAACTGCAACGCTGTAAATGCTTCACCCACGTATTTCAAATACCAGCCCGTCCTCCAAACAGAGACCCAAAAGTGATTTCATATGTTTATAAATGAAAACGGTTTACACAGGACTCACAACTGATTTCGTTTGAACACTTCCGGAACAAGTGCTTCACTAACGAATTTTGTTCGAACCACAACACTATAAATGCTTCACTCACGTACTACAAATACAAATAATCACCAACAGAACCTAAATACCTAACCTAAGCTAACCTATGCCTATATTTGCTAATGTATTACAATATTAATTTATATTTGAGAAAATTCTTGTTTTAAATGAATAGCACGTAAAAAATTATATATGCGTCTGTGGGATCGACCGCTGGACGTAATGGACTTGAATCGAGGATGGGTTGCAAATACAAATAATCGCCAACATAGCCTAAACACCTAACTTAACCTACGCCGAACTGTACCTAGAACTTTAATTTTAGTATCAATATTCTAGGTAAATATTAATAATGTAGAAATAAGAAGAAACCTATTTTTACAACCCGTCCTCGACTCAAGTCCATTACATCCAGCGGTCGACCCCACAGACGCATTCATAAATTTTAACATGCTGTTCATTCAAAACGGGAATTTTCTCAAGTATAAATTAATATTATAATATATTAGCATATTGTGCATATATAGGCATAGGTTAGGTTAGGTATTTAGGTTCTGTTGGCGATTATTTGTATTTGTAGTACGTGGGTGAAGCATTTATAGCGTTGTGATTCGAACAAAATTCGTCAGTGAAACACTTGTTCCGGATATGTTCGAACGTCAGCAGTTGTGAGTCGTGTGTAAACCGCTTTTCATTCATAAAGAGGGGGTTTGGCGGGTGCATGGAATCACTTTTGGATCTTTGTTTGGAGGACGGGCTGATTTTTAATACACAAATCGTTAAAATGCCTGAAACGCTTTGCGTAAAAATGGCTTTAGGCATTGTATGTACTAGCTCTATCTATAAATTCATCAATATTTGTAGCACACCTTGTATATATGTACTTTACCTGAATAAACATTTTAATTTGTGAACTTGAAAATTTATAAATGCGTCATGGAGGGGTGGGGACGGCAGTAGCTGACAGGACGGGCCTGACATGAGGACGGGTTGGTATAAAGTATGCTGTATCAATGAACATTTAGCTGATGTTCAATATGGGTTATGCAAATTTCTCATGTGCTTTGCAAAAATTGGTTTCTGCATTGATTGTATCGTTTATATTGTATTCTTTAAAACTGCCTTGTGTTAACAAGTACCAGACTCGTGTTTGTGATGGATTCATTACATCCAGGAAGTAGTGTTCGAAATTCACGCTCGGACCAAGGGATGGATTGGCTTCGGGTTCTCGCTTGATGGCGGCATGAGGGGCAGCGACATGGTGACGGCTTGGGTGAAGGACGGCCGCCTCTTTCTTCAGGACCGCTATGGGATAGATGAAGGGACACCACTCCTGGACGACCACCCAGACTGGAGGCCACTCTATGCTCAGGAGAACGACACCCATACCGTATTGGTCGTGGCTAGAGACATCAACACCTGCGACCCACACGACTATGTCCTCACGGTCAGGCTAGGGACACTACTGGTTAAATACACCCTTAAAAAGCTTAGTTAGGTATAGTACTTAGTCTTTTGGATATATATACTTGCAGTGTGGCCGCTTCTCGTTGTTTATCCACTGAGTTTAGTCCTAGACTATTGTTAAGGAATAAAGTATTCTTGCTGATTGGTCAAAAAATTAATAAGGCATTTGGTAGCCTTGATAACCCTCCAGAAGATGAAGGGCCTTAAGCCCAACACCTAACCTACCCAGTTTCTAGCGGGTTTATGTGAAGTAATTTAGTCCTGGACAATGTCAAGGGATGAATCAGTTTTTCCAGAAGTTGATCTAGTAAAACCTGCTACGTTTACTTATATATAATGTGGCGTCTATTCAAGCAACTAGACACGTTCAGATTTTGTGAATATTTCAAAAGCATTTTCTGCAATGAGAGGTGCTGGTATGAAAGACCAGGATCGCATTTATTTAATGGAATAATGTTATCTTAATATATCATGCTTTCAAGATAGCAACTTGAGTAACGAAATTTCTTCCCCAGAACGACTCTGTGCGGATGATCTACGCATGGGGGGAGGAAGACCCCACAGGCCCAGCCCCTCCCTACCACGGCCCGAGACGAGGCAACAGGTTCGCCTTTTGAGTGCTATTTATTAAAAGTAATTCAGCAAATCAAGCCTTAATTAAGATCTGTGACTGACTGAAACATTGTCATTCTCATATGTTTTCACGTGCGAGTTGTTTTTCAACCATGTTATTGTGACTTGCTTGCTGCATATATATAGAATAATATAGAAGATTTTGTCCTGAGAGATCATGTGATAAGCAGTATGACACATTTTAAGGTCATTTAGAGAGGAAAACACAACCATACAGGAAAATAGGTACCAATCGGCGTATGTTTACTTAATTTATTATGCACCCTATTCCCATCCTGTGGGCGGTAGTGGAAAAGGTTAGAGGCACATAATGGGCTTAGGGACTGAACCCCACAATTCATTTAACTAAACGAGTTAGTCTTGAGGTAGTTAGTTTTAGTGAATATTATTTGAACAGTGGGTTCGAGAATGACCACAAGTATGACCTCTAAGCTTAAGCAACATACACATGCGGTGAGCTAGTGTTATAATTTGATGTATTTATCCTGCACACTGCCCCTCCACATCCAGTGGGCAGCGGTGGAAAGTTTACAAAATTCTTCTTCTTTTCTTCTTGAAAGTAGGTGCAGTTTGCATGAAGGGTTCATCCTCCCAATGACTGCACCATTACAGAAGTTAGGAGACGCTGGTATGTTGAGAATGATAAGGGTCAAAAGTGCTGGTCGCGAGGAGCTGTAGAGAGAGGAGCGGCGACAAAAACAGAGGTGGCCGTTAGAGGGAAATTTGCCGCTCCAGAGGGCGGGACATTGTGTGCATGACGCTTACTAATATTTTTCCGGGAACTTATGTATCGGAAAGCGCAAGAAGTACGCTTCCCAAATCATCAACGGGTGTCAACGGCCACCCGGCCAACAGGCAGCACTCTTGGCAGAGATATCTTAACCGGCACCCCATGAACAAACTCCTTCGCCCGCGGCACCCAGATAGTGGAAGAGCACCACGGGATCGGAAGCACCGGGGCATGCCGATAAGGGCCCAACACCTAACCCTACCAGCCTTGTCCCTGGCAGCCAGGGCAAGGCTCCCCCCCCCCCCCCAGACCGGGGCATCGGAGGAGAGGGGAAACTGCAGGGGATGCAGGCGCGGCATCGACCCTGATACATGGCACAGGAACCGAGGCCTCCCGGCACAAATCCTTTCTCAGCACCATGACGAGGTCCCAATCATCAGGGGCAACCTCTCACTGCGGGGATCCAACAACAGGAGGCGCAGGGATGGGGGGCACAGGAAGCAACTTGGAGCCCCTCACAGCCCCGTTACCTACGGCGGGGGACGCCGGAGCACTATACTCCCACACCTCCTCCCAAGGCACACCACGAAGGGGAGACAATCTGAGCCTGCCTCGAGCGCTTCGAGACTGGTCATCCATTCGTTGCTGGACTGGTCATCCAGGCTGTTTAACGTGGCTGTTCACAGTCTGACGTATGAATCACAGCCTGGTTGATCAGGTATCCTTTGGAGGTGCTTATCCAGTTCTCTCTTGATCACTGTGAGGGATCGGCCAGGTATGCCCCTTATGTGAAGCGGAAGCATGTTGAACAGCCTCGGGCCTCTGATGTTGATAGAGTTCTCTCTCAGAGTACCTGTTGCACTCTGCTTTTCAATGGGGGTATTCTGCACATCCTGCCATGCCTCCTGGTCTCATGTGATGTTATTTCTGTGTGCAGGTTTGGGACCAGCCCCTCTAATATTTTTCACATATAAATTATTATGTATCTCTCCCGCTTGCACTCAAGAGAATACTGAATTAGGCTCTTTAGTTAGTCCCAGTAGTTTAGATGTTTTACTGAGTGGATTCTAGCAGTAAAGGATTTCTGCACGCTCTCCAGGTCAGCAATTTCTCCAGGTTTGAAAGGGGCTGTCATTGTGCAGCAGTACTCCACTCTAGAGAGCACTAGCGTCTTGAAAAGTATCATCATCGGTATAACATCTCTAGTGTAAAAGGTTCTTGTTATCCAGCCTGTCATTTTTCTTGCAGTTGTGACATTTCGGACTCTCACTGTCCGAAGAATCCACAGAGGCCACATCACCCACACTGTCCACGTCATCCAGGGAAACTGCCTCTGAACACCGGTGTGCACACTTCTGCAAAGGGATGAAAACATCAGAACTACAATCGGCGATACACACAGGCACGGCAGGCACCCCCTCCAAAACAGAAGAACCCACGCCCCTGGGAGCCGGGACCACATCCACAGGCGAGGGCGGGACATGGACTTCTACTGGGACATCCTCCACCACACGCAGGACAGGCGACGGCCCGACACCCACACACACACCGGCTCAAAAACCTCTGGGGCCACGGCAGGCAACAGACGTGACGCATAAGCCATAGAACCTGCCACAAGAGGCGGAGCAGCAGACAGGCAATCAGGCGCCTCATGCACATTAACCACTCCATCCTCAGAACCGTCCAAACACAACAGGCAGAAAATCTTCTGTATGAAAAATATGCACTCTACCAGCCGCTCCCACGTTGCACGCTGCAGCCAGATGACCCTCGTGACCACACCTATAACAGGTGCGTGGTTGCCCTGATACGGGCTGCGGAGCGTGTAGCCCAACACGGACACCGATGACGAAACACTACACTTCAGCGACATCCTCAGGGTGCGGGAGCCGTCAAGCATCCCAGCACAGTGCCCGGCAAGGACCTTGTTCCAACGAACACGTAACACAGTCCCAAACCGTTCAAAACAGGAAATCAAAAGATCGTCCAGAAACTCGAAAGGGGCACCATGCACCGTCACATACGTCAAGGCAACACTAAGATTCACCACTTTAACAGAACCGGTGGTATCAGGGAGAGGGTCCCTGATACCACGCCCCCTCACACCGCCCAAGAAATGCCTGAAAGGCAACCTGGTGGCGGAACTTAACCACAGCACGATTGCCCTGAAACAGTTGGACGTCTACTAAGTCGGACAGCTGCACATGTAGCACGCCCACCAGGGCGACACCAACTAACATATGGTCCACCGGCACTGTAAATGCCAGACCAGCCGACAATGTCCTCTTCACTGGAGGCCAAGAAGTCCCCATGGCAAATCCAAGTGTCACCCTGTCAGTGGCAAACCACCACTAGGAAGGGCAACCAGCAATCGTCCAACGTAAACACTGGAGTGGAGAGACCTTACAAAAGGTCTACAATTCACCCATATTTTATTATCTATAACTGGCAAACTGGGTGGTCTCCATTGACTCCTGGGACGAAACTTTTGAAACAATGATGCGTGGAAATTGAAACTTCTTCTCAAGCACAGGCTCGTGGGGTGGGCGACCAAGCCCTTGAGTTAGACAGTGATGGAAGATCAGGTTCCATTGCCCTGGCTGTGTTGGGCCCAGACTCTGCATCGTCTTTGTATACCATAACTGATCCTGTCCGTTCCCCTCCAACTTCCTTGGCAGGGTACAGTCCCAAGCCACGAGTGGTGATACCTCGTTACCTGGAGTGGCTCCATCTTTTGTTGTAATAACTACTCCATTTACTCCCCCCTCGTTGATGGTGACCACGGTGCCCTCACCACACTCAAAACACTCCTCCAAACACTGTTATGTTCAGCATTTGTTTGGCCCCGCTACATGAGCTAAGTACTTTCATATTTGTCACAATGGCCGTACTCGCACTGATGATTTACACACACATAAGCAGCTTGTTGACTGTTGATACGTATGTTACGATTAACTCCACTCAGACTGACATGTGTTGTTGCGGCCCCTTCTTAGGAGGCCTTGCTGCTTTATCCTGCATTAGTGAGACCTCGGTTCGGGCCTCTAAAAATGTCTAGTTGAATGTCAGCATTTGCACAGTCATTCTCTTGCACCATGTTGCGACTGGTGATAGGTGAATGCTGGTGAATATTCCCATGGCAAACTCAAAGACTGCCAGGGGAATATTAAATATTTCTTTTGAAGCCCAATGTTATTCTATCCTCCAAATTGTGACATGTTCTTCTTCTTCTTCTTGATAGCAGGTGCAGTTTGCATGAAGGATGTGTCCTTCCGATGACTGCACCAGGACAGATGTTAGGAGATGCGTGTATGTTGAGAATGATAAGGGTCAAAAGTGATGGTCGTGAGGAGCCATAGACAGAGGAGCCGGAAGGAAACAGAGGTGGACGGGAGAGGGAGACATGCCGCACCAGAGGGCGGCACGTTGTGTCCATGACGTCGACTAATATTTATCAGGGAACTCCCGCACCGGAAAGCACAAGCAGTACACTTCCCCCAGCAGCATGTGGGCGGAGGGCGCCCGGCCACCAGGCGGCACAGTCGGCGGAGGCATCCTATCAGGCACGTCATAAACAAACTCCTTCACCCACGGCACCCAGATAGTGGGTTATCTTGAGGTTATCTTGAGATGATTTCGGGGCTTTTAGTGTCCCCGCGGCCCGGTCCTCGACCAGGCCTCCACCTCCAGGAAGCAGCCCGTGACAGCTGACTAACACCCAGGTACCTATTTTACTGCTAGGTAACAGGGGCATAGGGTGAAAGAAACTCTGCCCATTGTTTCTCGCCAGCGCCTGGGATCGAACCCAGGATCACAAGTCCAGCGTGCTGTCCGCTCGGCCGACCGGCTCCCTTGGGTGCACATAGGTAGCTCATAGGTAGCACAGATTGATTGCAATGACAGGTTCAATGGTAGTTTAACAAAAATTAGTAGGCACAATACAGCATATGGCTAGCACATAAAAGAAGATAGCAATGAACACAATGATAAAGTCGTTTGGATTAAGTACATAAAGATTGGGTAACACTAGATACAGAGCAAATTTAAAGCTCAGTGTAGGAAACTACGAAGATGAAATTAGGCATATTCAGGCATATCGAGTAACACCACCTCTACTGTATGGTAGGAAAGTATTTCCGGAAAACTCCAGGCAAATTGAGTCCTGCCTGGTGACAGGGGGCACAGGCCCCCCATACTGCAGACGTCACGGCCCCAGGGACCCCCTCAGGAGAAACACGGGACGCAAGCCACGTCAGCAGCTACACCCAGGTCTACACACCACGCCGGGTTGACAACAACTGCTGGAGCCGGACGAAACAACCGTACCCCACGGCAGCCCAGAACACACTCCACAAGAACTCGTCCCAGCGGAGAGTTGGGACGAGCCTTGTAGTCACTGGTGGTGTGACCAGGTTGTGTAGTGTGGCTGGGATGGATATTTCCACCCTCAAGTCTGTCATGACAGTGTGTATTCACCAAGACTGCTGCTGCCTGTCTTGAGGCATCAATGTTAAGCACTGGCCGAACTACGACATTCAGGGCGGTGTTGCCATGTTGTATTCACGTTACTTATTTCCTTATCCATATATGTTTTAAAAATTCTTAACTATATCAGTCTGTTATCTCTCCCCCCCCCCATCTGTCATCTCCCTCTCCCCTCTGTCATATCCCCTCTCTCTCTCTCCCTCCCCTCCCATCCTCCGGTACTCTATATGCTATCTCCAAGGCGCCTCAGCAAATTTATTCTTGTGGCGCTGGAGACATATTATTTAACCTAATCTACTCCAGGTACGCGCTGGTACTGCTGCCATTCCATCGCCAGGTTCTGCCGACGGAGGCGCAGGTGTGGACGGTTAAGCAGAAGGTCACCTTGCCCCATACGCAAGACACCTTCTACTGGTGCCACATAGAGAAGATTCCCAAGTGGGAGACCAAACACCACTACATTGGGGTAAGTATTGCGATACGAGTCTTCAGGTGGAGCGGGCTGGGTGTGATAGGTGAACAGAGACATAAAGTGAAATGGGGAAACTTACCCAAACGTCTGTCTTGCCGTGAGAACCGAACCCTGGACCTTGCGGTTCTGACCCTACGGTGTTGACCACGGAGGTCAACACAAAGTTCTGTAGTACCCAGAGAATCAGATTGTCTTCCCATTAAAAGAAGGGCTTTACCTAAGATAAAAAGAAAAAACTAACTGATTTAATCCACAACTACAAATGTTTATAACACAGAGAAAACTAAAACTAAGGCAACTTAAAATGTGTAGCTATGCCTCGCTCCTGAGTACTGGCACAGGTGGTATACTTAGGAGCCAGTCCTGTAGGAGGCCATCAGGAGAAGGCTGGGCGAGCCTTGGCTACTTTGCCTTATATATGGCCTCCCATATATACGTATATATGTGTGTATATCACGAAAATAAACACGTGATTAAGAATGTGACAATGTCAGACCACGAAGGAAAAATGAAACAGGAAATTTCCTTAAGTACTTTCGTATATTAAATACATCTTCAGAAGGTGATGTATTTTAATATACGAAAGTACTTAAGGAAATTTCCTGTTTCATTTTTCCTTCGTGGTCTGACATTGTCACATACGTATATATACGTACTATTAGAAGTTCTTGTGAGCAAAAACAGAAAAAGGTTATTCACTTCTTGATGCAAGTGTAACTTGCTTGATACTGTAGCAAGGCTTTGCTTGAGTAACAGCCTCAAAACCTCATTGATTACGATATATCAGTTGTACAAAGATGGCATCTTGATCTATTGTCACACTTGCAAATTCGAATATGTTCACATTGTTACTTCCACCCATCTGATTTTCCGTGTGCTATCCACCTACTTCTAATATTTACTTTATCGTTAACATTCGACCCGAACTTAAATGCTTCCTAGAGGTTTGTGACAGTACACATGGGTACCTCACTAGAAATAAATACCTATTTGCTATTCCATTTCTGTTTAACCAAAGCTGAAATGCTACACAAATCAAGGATCCCAAAATGTAGAATGACCTCCTATATCACATCAAAGACTGTCCTCTCAACTAGTTTAAAAGAGAAACTAAGTGGCAGTGGCACCTGATACCTCTATGTAACCTACATTACTTCCTAAATGTCAACCTAAGTTTTGCTGTTATTGATCATTAATTAATGAACCTGTACTACTGCTGTTATCTGCCATGTACATTTTAATAAAAATTCCTTCTGTTTATGCTGTAAAATTAATATGTTCTGTTGCAATTTTTGCTGTTCCAATCATCATGTAATAATTCATTTTATTTCTCTTGCTCTTCGTCAATTTATTATTGCTTTTGATCTCGTTTAGTTTAAAAGTCTTTAAGATTCTGATTGGAGAAATATTGTAAGTGTGATACCACAGGGATCCATCTAGGGGGCCAACCCTTTTTGTCATCTACATCACTAACATGAGGTGGTTTGTAATATTCTCATTTATCAGATTTGCAGATGACACAAAGATTTTTAGTAAAGAGGGAAATGATAATGCTGTTGAAGCCTTACAAAGAGATCTACATGAACTACACAAATGATCAGATGACTGGCAAATGCTTTTTAATATCCCCAAATGCAAGACTGTGGGACTCCTCGCCTGGCCACTGGTGGAGGTGGACGTGCCTACTGTGCTCCGTGTTGTTTACATCCTAAGTATCAAGGGTGTAGTGTCTGGTCATTTGGTGGAGCCGCTTGCAGGGGCCTGTGCCCATGTGAGCCTTGAGTGATGGAGGGTCCTTTTTCCCTGTAGCAGTCGTTGACCATTGTCCTGGAATTCTCAAGCGTGGTGGACTTCCCGACTGTGGACGTTACCCTATTTCACGTGTTGAGTGTTGTCGTCGCTGGGGTTCAACTTATTTCAAGTCACCATGCTGTTGTCAGGTTTGGTTCCCATCTTATCTACAGTGATTTTGTTGAGCGCTATGATGGGAAGTCCTTCCGGCTGCTTGGGTCTGCTGGTTCTGTGGCAGTTTACGACTGCAGTGGCACCTCCACGTATGTTGCCGTTCATGGTGCGTCTTTTGAATTTCCTGAAGCTTTTTACGTTGTTGTTTTGGGCAATTTGGGCGCGTGTTGGCCATACAGATGAATGTCATCTCGTCTGGTCGGCTCAAGAGTGTTCCCAATAGAAACCGGACCGTCACTATGCGTCTTAAGGCTGCCATTCTATCCACTATTCGACTGATGGGATTTTATGTAGGGATTTTCTATGTGCGGCAGACTTATACGTGCTTCAGGTGTGGGATGGCAGGGCATCTAGCTGCAGGATGCAGTGCGAGCCGTATGGACCCAGTCAATCTCTTTTGGGAGAAAGATTTTCCCCTCGCTGGAGGTTTAGGGGGGTTCTGTGTTTTGACCAGACCACACACTAGAAGGTGAAGGGACGACGACGTTTCGGTCCGTCCTGGACCATTCTCAAGTCGATTGAGGTCTGGTCAACATACTTTAGCCACGTTATTGTGACTCATCGCCTGTTCTGTGTGTGATGTTGATGTGGCTGTGGTGGCTCTGCCTGCAAGGAATGTGGATGCCGTGGTGTTGGGTGGGGTTTCTGCGGCCGGTTCCGGGGCCTGAGGAGGGTGGTATTGTGCTGCCTGCCGAAGAAGAACAGAGTTTGGTGCCTGGCGATTCCGGGATGTTCCAGCTGGGCGGCCTATTGTGTTTGGGCCTGTGCCTCCGGTGGTTGCAGCGGCTGCGGTGTTGCTTGGCAGGGTGCTGCGTGACCATGGGCGGCCTTCCTGTGTTTCTGAGGTGTCTCCTGTGGTAGAGGTGGACAGCACTGAGGATCTGCGTCTGTTGTCCAAGCGCCCAAAGAAGTCTTCTGTTTCATCACCGCCTCGTACTGAAGCTTAGGTGGATGTTGGTGAATTTACGAGTGCCTTGTCATCTGACGAGGAGGCTGGTGGTGCATCTGTGGCCCCTGTTGTGCCTGGTAATGGTCCGTCCGTGGTGGTGGCGGAAGTACATGTCTAGGTGCCGGTTGCTGGGGCTGGGGTTTCGTTGCCTGCTCCTGTGTTCCACTCTGAGCCCTTGAGTGTGGGTTTCCTGGAGTGGCGGGTTGTTCCCCCCGTGTGAGTCAGTTGCTTTGAGCCAGGATTTGGTGCTGTTACTGAAGAAGGAAGCTGTTTCGGTGGGCCCCCATCGTGCGGCCCTCTGTGTTGCAGCCTCTGTTGCTGCAGACTTCTGTTCTCTATTCTTCTGTGCACCAGCTGCCGGTGCCCTTGCCCCCTGTGCACCACCATCTCTCCCCATCCCCCCCCCCCATGCTCCAGTCCTCTGTCCTGCCGCCTCCCGTCCTACCGCCGCCCTTGGGGGGAGGGGGGGGGTCTCGTGCAGGAGGTCCCGGACTTTATGGTTCACCCACGTAGCACCTGTGAAGGTGTCTCCCCGACGGACGACGAGTGGGCTGTGTGGGATACTTACGGGTTGAAGTATCCGGAGAAGTATCGTGGTTATGTTTCCCAATTCTGGTGTGTTGTATTTTTATTTTTTTGTATAGTTTTTGTGTTGTGTTGTTCCTATGTTTTCTCTGTTTCGGTTTAGTGTGATTTTGTGAAAGTTATGGCACTCCAGTGCTTCTTTTATGTGCTTATTTATGTCTATTTTGTGTACTTATATGGGTACTGGGTGCACCAGAGATAAAATCTCTGGTGCACCCCATTTGGATTACTGTATCCAAGCATGGAGACCTCATCTTCAGAAGGACATAGCTGCTCTGAAAAAAGTGCAACATTGGGCAACAAAAATCATTCCAGAGCTAAGTCAACACATGTACGAGGAACGGTTGAGGGTCACAGAGCTTAGAACACTGCAAACCAGGCATGACAGGGCGTATCTCATTGAAACTTAAAATACCGAATAATTTGAATGATGTTGATCCGGAAAATTGCTTCAAAAGGTCAGATGTAACACAAACATCTGTGTTACATCTGGTTTCAGGCTCAACAAGAGGTTTCACGCTCAACAAGCCACAGTGTAGGACTAAGAACGGGAGATGCTTTTTCACTCATAGGGTTGTAAACCCATGGAACCACCTACCCGCTGAAGCCGTACATGCCAAAATTCTGTTAACATTTAAAGTACAGCTGGAAAAGATAATCAAGGCAAATGGGGGGTGGGGGGGGGGGATACCTTCTGCAAGCCGCCGGCTTCCTTTCCTCATCGAGGCCACGATGTGTTGGTGGCTCTCGGGTAAACTCAAATTAACCCCATATTATGCCCGAAATACTCTGCATATTAGTGACTTTAGGCATTATACTTGCTTTACTCATTATTCATAATCTTTTTTGTATCCTATGTATGTACCTTAGCTTAAATAATAATAATACAATTTTTATTATTTAACATTCACATTTTTAAACCAATCATCTTGCTATATTTCTTTACTTCTCTTCAAAAGAATATATATTTTATATATTTTTTTCCTCCTAATTTGTTATTCTGTTTTCTTAAGTTTGCTTTATAATAGTTTTTCATAAAACTGTTACCAATATTATTATTCTATATAATTCTTCCAGTTTGACATGATTTATGGAAAGAATTCACGGGAGAACCTTCATCATTCGGTGGCCTTCGAGTGCCACAGTAATGACGGCAGTGACCCGGGGAGCGTGCTGGAGAAGCACTTGGACGTCCCGGGCTACGAGTGCTACACCCCCAACATGCCCTCAGAGTTCTACCTCTGCGAGAGGTTCCTCATCAACTGGGCCATCGGCAGCGAGGCGAGTGTTGCCGCCAAATATCGAGAAAAAATGCATTGAAATAATATTTGATGTGCAAATTTGAAGTGTTGAAGTTGTAAGAGATTCTGAATTGAAATGTGTAATTTTGTTAAAATGATTTAAAGAGGTGTGCAGAGCACATAGAGATCACACTAACGTGATGCATCAAATGAACAAATCCACAAGGGCCGGGGCAGTGGATTTGTTGTCGATTAAGGCAGTGTCTGGGATGCTCCCGGACGCAGGTTCGAATCCTCGTCACGGCCCTTGTGGATTTGTTCAGGTGTGCAGAAATAACCCTAACCAACCCACAACTGCCTCCTAGCTCCCGTGTACTTACCGTATTTACTTAGGCGAACCGTGACATCGGTTTAAAGGAAGTGACATCGGTTTAAAGGAAGTGACATCGGTTTAAAGGAAACATGCCCAAACGTCTCGCCCTGCTCGGGAATCGAACCTATGCAAGACCATTAGATTGTGAGTGAACTGTAGTGACAATACAGCTGTATAATCTTACTTTCTAATCACTTTCTCCTTGCTATGATGTCCATCCACTTTGACTTATCGGTACAGCGACGGCCTTGTATGTTGCTGGGTCAGTGTTCGATCCCCGATTGTCCAAGTGGATGTGCACCGTTCCTCTCTCCCGTCCTTTGATCCCTTCTCCTTGACTTTACTTGCTCCTCACAATTACCTCCACACAGGGAGAGCTGCTGCCGGAGCGAGTGGGCTACCCTCTGGGAGACCTGCATGGCGGCGCCACCTACATCATGTTCCAGACCCACTATGACAACAGGAGGCTCGAGCGTGACGTCACCGTGGAGTGGGGCATGAATATTTACTACACCGACAAGCTCAGGTGTGTCACTGGGCACTTAGGAGTTGGCAACGCGTGGTTCGAACCCCACTGTTGCTCCAGTGGGCAACTGACAACAACTTTCACATGCAGTGTAAAGCAGACTGAAGTATTCTTCAAATGTTAATTAAGGCTGAAGGAATATAGTTCCAGTAGAGGTTTGTTGGATAAGCACAGAGGAGAAGCATGCGCTGTACCATTTCCAGTGGGAGAGGTCTTCCGGAGATAGAAAAACTATTTGGAATGTTATCTACACAAATGTTCTGAAGTAGAAGTCAATTTAACTAGCATCAAATGACTCGTGATGGAATTTTCTCTACCTTCAGCTCCTGAACCGATTATGTGCCTCTGTATTATTATACAGAGGCATATGGATTATAATATGAAATATGGATTATGTGAAAGGAATGTGCCTTTCCACCACCGCCCACGGGATGGGTATGGGGTGCATAATAAAAGAAATTGGATTGAATTCCCTCACAAGAAGCTACGCAATATATAAAGGAGCTCCAACAATTCAATGTATCTTAGGTTAATTTTGATTAACTCTAACCCGTTTTCCTCTGCCTCAGCATGGCTGTTAATTATGCCCCCCGCCCTTCTCCACCCTACAGTATGGCTGTTAGTTAACACCTTCCCCCCCCCCGCCAGAATTTTAAATAAATACTTCTATTTCTATAGAAGTCTATTTTAAATATACTTCAGAACACCAGATAATAGAGCTCAACACGAGGGTCTTTCTTTATAAATGATATTCCCTCTAATAGTGTACAGGTTATCAGTTATAAAATTGAAGACTTCGCCTGCGTCTCCACTGTGCTTACCTAACCACAGCCAGTTACAGCCCCGCTCCAGTGCCAGGTAAGTCCACTACGGGCTCACCTTAGCCCGTGCTGCTTGCAACTTTTTGTTCCGAGTAGCTGAATCTAAAAGAGCAGCAGCAGTTTACTCAACAGGTCTTCTCTAGCAAAAACTTACAGGGATGTGAAGTTTAACGCACTACCCATGCTATACCTGTTGAGTTTTAAGTAACTTTCGTAGGGACAAGGCCTAGAGTCAATAATAACTTAGGGACTAATAAATGTCCTTTGTTAGAGCAGAATTATTATTTAAACTAACACATATGTGTCAGTTTTACAGTGCGTTTTAAATTTACACGAAATCCTTACAGTGTGTGTGTCTCACGTCCTGCTTCATGTGTCCCACTCCATGTGCTTACCTAAGTGTAGTTACAGGATGAGAGCAATGCTCATGGTGTCCCGTCTTCCCAGTACTCTTTGTCGTATAACGCTTTGAAACTACTGACGGTTTTGGCCTCCACCACCTTCTCGCTTAACTTGTTCTAGTCGTCTACCATTCTGTCTGCAAATGTGAACTTTCTAATATTTTTTCCGCACTTTTGTTTCCTTAGCTAAAACCTATGTCCGCTTGTTCTTGAAGTTGCAGATTTCAAAAATTATTTTGTCTATTTTGTTGATACATGTTACTATTTTGTACATAGTGATCACATCACCTCTTTTTCTTCTATCTTCTACATTTGGTATATTTAACGCGTGTATTCTCTCTTCGTATCTCTTCTTTAGTTCTGGAAGCCATTTGGTTACATGCCTTTGTACCTTTTTTCAGTTTGTTGATGTGATTCTTGAGATATGGGCACCATACAATTGCTGCACATTCCAACTTTGGTCTCAATGGTCATGAAACAATTTCTTTAGTATTTCACCATCCACGTACTTAATAGCGATTCTAAAGTTGGAAAGCGTAGCATACGCACAATGTTCTTTATGTGGTCCTCAAGTGAGTGATAGAACCACCCCAAGTGTGTCTCCCCGCGTATATCATTAAAAAAAGAACTAAAGCAGAAGGCAAAACAACAAGCTGCCTAAGCGGCAGGATTGGTGACTTGACATCGGCATACATGGAAAAAACTATTCATAGTGGAAGCTCCTAACAAGGCCCCGGAGTGGGAGGGATATATATGCATATGGGGGGTCCCTCCGGCCGCCGCCTTACCCACTCGTGGGCTTCGGCCAGGTCATCCACCCTCTTGTGAGACACCATTTGGAGAAGTGGTACTCCAGATGACGACTCTGCTTAGATAGTTGGCTACCAGCTATCCTGGCTGCAGTTCACCTAAGCAAGACTATATTAACCCTTATGCACCCTATGCACGGTGATCCTGGGACTAAGGTAGTCTGCCCCTGGATGTGGTCTTGGACCATATTCTGTAGATGGAATATGTTCAGATCAGGGCTTGCACAGAGCAAATCTCAAGGTCGCTCTTGGTGAGTCCCATATCCTGTAGACCACTCGCACTCTCCTTGCATCATCCTCCTCTCCAATTAAGGGTTATTGAAGAGGCGGATGCTGTGTGCTTCCCAGTATATTCCCTGACCTTTTGAAGGATCTCTGGGGTGCCGTACTTGTCGCACTTGCTCTGATGTGGATGGGAGAGTGGGAAGTTATCAACAGAGACCTGGGTGTCTAATATAAAGGCCTCATCTCCTTTGCAAGCTATGATGTCAGGCTTACAGAAGGTCCCTCCATCCGGTATACGGACTTCACGTTCCACCTCAAAACCTCTTTGCCGCAGGCGGTTGGCTACGAACCGGGTGATATCGTCATGACGTTTCACCCGAGCCCCATGTGTCTTGTGGCATGCCTGGGACATGTGGCCCAGGGTCCCTGGTTTCTGGCTAGCATCGCAGAGACCAGAAGCCTCGGAGCTACCCCTAGTTGCTCTAGACGGTGTGGCTACAGCGTTTGCCCTAATCTGGATGGCATGAGCAAAATCTCTTCAGCTTAGCAGACGGGTACTGGATGCGACCCACTTATGACAAGATGGAACCTCACAAGAGGACGCAAGGGTGGCACCGTCGATCATGCTATAGAGTTTTGCTTTCCACTTTCTAGAGCGCTTAGTCGTTCTGTTAGAAGGGGTTCCGGCGGCCGTGGTCGGGTCTACCCATCGACGCATTTGCGCTTGGAACGCGGGTAGGAGAGCCGCTGCCACTGCCACTGGATACTCCAACTCTACTAACGCCCCGAGCTGCTTGTTCTTCTGTAGGCAGATTGATGTGGAAAAACTCGGGTATTCCTAGTCCACCGTCCTTCACGTCGGCATGAAAATAGGCATTAGGAGTATCATGAGGCAGCCGCAGCCAACCATGAATGGCATGCCGCAGCTGCCGGTCAAGCCTCGCTAATTCTGTCTTAAACACGCGTCCGAGAACAAGCCGGTGGTTCGTCTTGGGGAGTAGGTGGTGTTTTAGTAGGTATAGCCTCTGTTGGAGTTGGAGTGGTACCTTAGTGATGTTCGTCAGGCCGTCCTCAAACAAGGAACCATAGGATAAGCGTCTGCCCCCGGCCCCGATAAGTATTCCTAAGTACTTATACTCGTGCCGCCACACTCATAGTACCGATTTCATCGTCCCCGACGTAGTATGCCTTCCTGGTGGGGACATGCCACGTCTTGCGATGTGCATCGATCGCTATACTTAGCGTACAGCATTTCGCAGCATTTACTTTAAGACCAGAGCCACGCAGTGTGTGGCAAATACTTGTTATGAGTGTCTGTAGTCCGGCAGCCGTTTCTGCTGCCACAACCAAATCGTCAGCGAATACCAGTGCTGATATCTTTTCTCCCCCCAGTCTAACCCCTAGCCCCAAGTCCTTAGCCCTAGTAATTGCCTCATCAATTATTAGGTTAAAGAGAAATGGAGACATGGGGTCACCCTGTTTCACTCCCCCCCCCTAGTGATCAGGATGTCCTTCGACTTCTCCCCTTGGCTGGTTATTACGGTTGAGGATCGATCATAGCCCGACATTATGTATGTCTTTAAAGGCTTCGGAATGCCTTTACGTTTCATGGCCCGATGGATGGCCGGATGGGAGACGCTATCGAAAGCCTTCTCCATATCTAGAAACGCTAGGTGCGTGTTGTGTTTGAGCGCATGAGCCTCAGCTAGGAGGGCATCCAGGATCACCAGGTTTTCAGGGCATCCGTCCACAGGGACGAAGGCCTTCTGCCGCCTGTCGATCCTGACTGCCTCGGAGAGTCTGCTGCTCAGAATCTTATAGAACAGCCTCACTATCGTAGATGACATGGTTATGGGGCGATAATGGGAAGGAGAGTCTGGATTAGGTTTCTTAGCTAACAGCACTGTCTTATTCTTGCAAAAAGGTTGTGGCAGGGATTCGTTTACCAACCACAGATTAAACAGTTTTGTAAACACCCTGATTGGTATAGCTTTAAGTAGACGTATAGTGATACCGTCTGGGCATTTAGCGCCCTCTGATTATTCCGCATTTGATGGTGCCACTTGGCCTTCCTGGCTTGGTGCCTTCTTTTGATAATTACTTATTCCCCCAGCAACTTTTTGTTGTTGGGGGAGTAAGCAACCCTTCCTAACTCCCCCCAGCACACACCCTTCCCATCATCCCCAAGCACACACCCTTCCCATCTTCCCCAAGCACACACCCTTCCCATCTCCCTGAAAATTTGATTCAGTTGTGTTTTGAGCTGAAACGCTGTCGTAGCATTTATGGCTTTGTATGGTAGACTGTTCCGCGAGTTTATTACATGTTGTCCTTATGCTATTGATTGTTTAGTTTGTAATTTTTTGTATGCTCCTCGTTCCATGATAGATGGAATAGCTTGTGTTGATTGTAACTTGCTTAGCTTAATGAATTTTTGGGTTCAGCTCCTGGGCCCATTATGTGACACTGTAACCTCCTCCACTGCTGCCCACAGGATGGGCACAGGGGTGCATAATAAATGAACTTAACCACTCTCGTTCCATGGGATGGCGGCAGGGAGATTGACGCCAGTAACATGGGTCTGGGTCACGCCCTGCTCTTCTCCCTGACGGTGCCACCCCGGACGCCCCACTGGCTGGTGTCCGGACACTGTCCGTCAGAGTGCACCGCCGCCACCATACCGCCGGACGGCATCAACGTCTTCACCGTCTTCATTCACGGCCACTACCTCGGTCAGCGCCTCCTCTTGTCCCGCGCTTCTCATAACAGAGTGCAAACTGATGCCAGAATAACTGATATCCTCGATGAATTCTGATAACAATGATGCCATAAATAATAATTGTTTGTGTTAATCTAGAATTCTAGATAATGTGTAACAGATGAGTGCGTGTGATGTTGCAGCTCGAGCCATCAGACTCAGGCACTTCAGGAAGGGCGTCGAACTGCCGCCTCTCGCCGAGGATAAACACTACGCTGCTGACTTCCAGCAGTCCCGCCGACTCACGAAGGAGGTGAAGATCTTGCCGGGGGACCACCTCACTGTAGGTAAGGTCTCCACGCCGCCGCCTGCTGTCGTGCCTCCACGACTCAACTGTCGCCGGCGTGTATGTCATTCTAACGTCATTCCGTGAGTCGCTTAGAAACAGTGCGACTAATGTTTTTCTTTATAAGTTTGTATTGTTATTGTCGTTAGTTCAGTATGAGTTAATTGATAACTGCTGCTTTATAATTTATATCAATCTGTTCTATGGGAGTAGTGCACTCGTAACACTCACCCACAGTACCCAGCCAGTGGGGGGTGTCACAGTACTGTGGGGGTCTGTGCAGGGTACTGTGAATGCATCACTGTGGGTGGTGCACTTGTGACAAACCCCCCCCCCCAACAGTACCCGGCCTGTGTGGCGGGGGAGGATCGAGTTTCATGTTGACTACATCGTAACATAAATGAAGTCAATTAAGTCACCTGATACATAACTAAGTTATAGTGGAGAATGGAAGCTCAACATTCCTGGTAATGATAATAAATAATGTTAAGTTTGTGTACTTGTCGCACTATATCAAATCACTGTGAAATACGATTAACTAATCAGGTTTTCTGAGAAACTGGCAGGTCTCCCTATCACAGAGTCGTGGAATTGAGTGTAACAAAGCAATCAAATATTCCTGGTGAGTGAGATGTGTCTGACCCTCGCCTTGTGTGCCACAGAGTGCGACTATGACAGCACCGGCCGAGCCAAAGGAACGTTCACGGGATGGAAAGCAGAGGACGAGATGTGTCAGGCATTTATCAATTACTACCCCCGTGTCGACCTGGCTCTCTGCCGCTCCTCTCCCCACCCGCGCCTCCTTCAGGACACCTTCGGCCTAGGCAGCTTTCAAGAGTGAGTTCCTGGGGGCGGGAATGGGGGTGATGGAAGAGTTACTGTGTATGTGTGTGTGTGTGTGTGTGTGTGTGTGTGTGTGTGTGTGTGTGTGTGTGTGTGTGTGTGTGTGTGTGTGTGTGTGTGTGTGTGTGTGTGTGTGTGTGTTGGGGGGGGGAACGGGACAAGGAATAGATCGTGGAAACCATGCTTGGAATTAGTTTTTAAGTATATATTGATGTGAATATACTTTGGTAGACAAAAAAATGTTAAACACTATATGTGTTGAAATTTTCGGGCATTATCTCGCAAGAAGGAACGAAGTACTCAAAAAATCGGACTGAAGGAATTGCTTCCATGGTCCTGTAGGCAGTAAAGACTGACCAATTTGTGTTATCTGAATGTATACAAAATTTTATGCAGGTAAAAGTACATACATTAATGAAGAGTTACAAACATAATGTTGGATTTATAGACAGAGCTAGTACATACAATACCTAAAGCCCCTAATACGCATAGCGTTTCGGGCAAAGTGTGTGTGTGTGGGGGGGGGGGGGGGGGGCCCCAAACTTAGACAAAAAAGAAAATGTCTCTGTTCAGTGTGAGCGCATGACCTTCGGAGTCATTGTTTTCTGTAGAGTTTCTTTAACAGTTTTTCAGCGCTTCGTAATATTAAATTTTCTGAGATATAGAGATAAGGAAGGAGAAAGGGAACAGAAAAATGAAGTGGGGAAAGGTGATAGGGAGCATGGGGGAGGGGAGGGGAATTAAGAGAGTGAACGAGAGGGGAGAAGATCGACAGGGGGAAAGGGAATGGAACTACCAGGGAAAAGCATTAAGCCATTACAACTATATAGCACATGGAAAGGGTCAGGATAATGATTTGGGATGGGACGGGGGGAAGGAATGGTGCCCTACCACTCGGTCGGACGGTCGGAGATTGAACGCCGACCTGCATGAAGCGAGACCGTCGCTCTCTCGTCCAGCCCAAGTGATTGAATGGAGAGAGGAGAGTAGAGGGGAGAAGATTTTGCGAGATGGGAAAGAGAGGGGGGGGCGGAGGGAGGAGAGATATGGGTATATATATTAGCCCGGTACTCCATGTAGGAAACTGTCAATATATAATGATGATAATAATTTATTTTCAAACAATTTACGAAGGAATAATATACATTGGGTTGATAATTCTTACAAATATGTATACTTAATAAGGCCTCTAATATGCAGTGTTTCTAGCATAACAAAATAATTGTTAGGCTGGATTAAGGTTTGATGAGGTAGACACTTATTGCGAAATAAAGGACGAACATAACTTAGGTCAAGAAGTTAAGCCAATGGTATAAAACTTTAAGGAGCACAGAATGTAAACAGGAACAGGAGAAAATAAACGTGTGTGTTGTGGTGACGCTTAACATTGAGACAACTTGTAACATACATGAATTGTTGAAAGATTTCGAAATAATTGAAAATTTTAACGAGACGTTCATGAACGTCAGTTGTCTAAACAATACATAGTTACAAATTTTAAAATTGTAGATGAGATAGAAAAAATGACATTTAGAAATTTAGTATCGGTATATATGTAGTAATTAAGAATTATAGTTCACAATAACAGCAATAAATAGGATGAGAAGAAGCGAGGAAAATTAGTATCATCGAGTGAATAAGATAATTCTTTGTTGTTCTTTTAATCTAGACAGGAAAAGTACAAATTTTAATTTCATTAGGGAGGTTATTCCACAGTTTAGGACCCTTGATTTGCAGAGCGTTTGTACTTTGGTTAAGTGGCACTCTTGGGATATCAAAAAGATATTGGTTTTTCGTGTGATGGCCATGGGTTCTGTTACAGCCCTCCGGGAAGCGCTTAAGATCAGGAGGATTAGCATTACAATGCAGAGTTCTACTGATGTGGAGCACACTTGAGAGGTGGTGTTGTGACTTTATACTTAACATATTCAAAGATTTTAGAAAGGGAGATGTAAAGAAGCATCTACTTGCCTCACCATAGTATCCAACCTTATTGTCATATCTCCTTATGCACACTACGCTTTTAAATATCACCTAACGATAACAATATTTCGTTACTAGTTTACCTAGTGTTATCAGCAGTAGTTCTAATTATCACCACCTTTCCCTAGTACTAACGTTATTACATACAGTAGTTGTTACCTAAACTTGACTCGTTCACATACACAGGGAAATAAATATACACAGAAATGTACCTCATTTCTTGCTGTATGTACAATGACAGATTACTTTCGTTTCCAACGATGTTAACTATAAAAGTTTTCTTGCTGGTTGGTCGGGAGGTATTTGTGCTGCCATAACAACACTGCACACTTTGATAAGCTACGATAACCCTCCAGAGGCTGATAGGCTTGAGGTTATCTTGAGATGATTTTGGGGCTTTAGTGTCCCCGCGGCCCGGTCCTCGACCAGGCCTCCACCCCCAGGAAGCAGCCCGTGACAGCTGACTAACTCCCAGGTACCTATTTACTGCTAGGTAACAGGGGCATTCAGGGTGGAAGAAACTTTGCCCATTTGTTTCTGCCTCGTGCGGGAATCGAACCCGCGCCACAGAATTACGAGTCCTGCGCGCTATCCACCAGGCTACGAGGCCCCACAAAGCTTGATGTTAGGCTTGAAGCCTAACATCAAACCAAACTGCCCGTTTTAAATATATAATTTTTATTTCCCCATGTCGGAGACAGGAAGCCTATAATTAGGCTTACCGAGGTCTGCCTAGGCCAATAACTGACCTTTCCATGGATGCAACGCACAATAATTACTACTGGGTACCTATTTAAATCCTAGGTGAACAGCGGCATCAGCTGAAAGGAAACATCCTAACCATTTGTCCTGCCCGGGGATGGAACCCGGGTCCCTCGGTGGTGTCTCGAAGACCTAAACTACTTCCAAATCCCTATAAATGTGACATGTTTGTTCATTGTTTTTTATTTAGGATTTGCTGTTCATTTTTTAGCTTGCAAATTAGCGCAAATTCCTAACATGTACCTGAACTACTTTGTTGGCGTTAAGGCTTCCCTTGTATGTTGTCCGTGTTAGTGAGTGTGAGAACCCTATGGCCTGGTCGGTACAGCTAAGGCCTCGCTTATTGCAAGTCTGCGTTCAATCCCCAATGTTCCAAGTAGTTGGGCACCATTTCATCCTTCCCTCCTATCCCAGTTCCTTGTCTTCGTATCCCTTTCATGTGCTGTAATTATACTGGCTTAGTGCTTTCTCCTCATAATTACCGTACCTCACCTTTGCAAGAAAGTATTATTTACTTGGCAAAATTATTTAAAATGTTCGTGTAAATATTTAAAAATTAATTGCTAGGATTAGCAGTGGAAGTATTTTGCCAAAATGTTCCGCTTGGCCGGGAATGTAATGAGGATCTTATTACTTGCAAGTAAGGCTTGCTAGAAAGTTTACCGTGAGTTCTCCATTGACAGGGATCTGAACCTTGATGGCTTCGAGTTTGATCCCGAGGTTGGTGCAGGTCAGAGGTACCAAGAGGTGATGAACAGCCTTCCCTGGGACACCATGGACAAGACGACGCTCAACACGAAGGTGTTGCAGGGGGACCAGGTCATAAAGTGCCAGTACAACTATGGCATCAAGATGAAGGTCAGTCTCACGAACTAATTCAAAATGAGCTAACCGTTCAGAGCGGAATCTCCAGGGGGCTCTGTCCTCGGACCTTAATTGCTACAAGACGATCTTGATAAGTTTTCAAATTGGACGAATGATTGGCAGATGTAGCTTAATTCTGAATATATAGCGTTCTAAATTTAGGTAATAATAAGAGTTCCCAGATATTAACTGGATAATACGAGAAAGATCTGAGAGTCATGATTAATAAGGGATCTTAATCCAAAACAATCAATGCACAAATCTGCGAAATAAGGCGAATAGGATACTGGGTTTTATTTCTAGAAGCGTAGTAGCAACACATTTGTTATTATTATTATTCAGCTTGATCTCGTCCTGTTAAGTCTTATATAGGAGATGCTCTTCAGTACTGCACCATGGATATAAATTCACTTATGTAGTATGGCAAAGTTAATCACAATAATTCGAAGACTTCTCTATGAAGAGAGATAAAAAAGATTATCTTAATCTCCGGAAAGATGAAGCGTAAAGGGTGTTATGAAGCAAGTGTATAGATAAATGAGAGGCCATAACAAAGGGGGTATAAATTGGACTAAGTATATCTACACAAAATAGAACTGGAAATAATAGATATAACTTTGTACAAGATAGTCGGGTAAGACCTGGATAAATTCTGGTTTAGAAACAGGGCTGTTGGTTAATTCAACACATTATCTGGTAACATAATAGACCTGGGATCTGTGGATTGGTTCCATCGTAGGTTAGACTTATATATGTGAATAAGTTTGGTGGATATAAAAAGCTGCCGCCTCGCTTGGGCCAATAGGCAGTTTCCTCTATTCTTGTGTATGTGTGTATCGTTACCTTGGTATTTACACTTCTCAGCTGGACACCAACGTGACCCGGTATCCGCGAGCGACGCCCTTCGTGCCCCCCAGCGACCTAGCCTGCGCCGCCCTCAACCTCCACCACGTCCAAGGTGCTTCCGACCGTGCTTCTGCTGCCCCGCTCCTCGTGCTGGTCCTGGTGGCGCTGACGGTGGTACTACATGATCTCTGAACGTGACAGTCAAATCATTTAGTAAATACAAGGGTAAAGAAAAAGGCATTTCTTTGCCCATAATGATGAATTACTTAATGTTTGCAACTGTGCGGGTGTGCTGCCACACCTCGCAGGTAATAGGTTTCAGTTTCTGAACGTTCATACGCACACGTATGAACACACCTGAACACGTTCATGTACACATAAATAAAACGATAAACTATTTTTATCTTATATTTTCAAAATAATCTTTAAGGGGAGATTATAATTTCTTCTTTGTGTTTTCCCCTTAATCTTTGCTCTATTTGGTCTGTAGAAGAGTATGACGGTTTTGCTCTCCAGGAACTTCCCTTCTTGAACTGTATAGTATGATACCGGGGGAACATTACTATATTACCGGGGGAACTTCCTATCTCTTGGACCAATAATATAATCATTCCAATTCCCAAGCCCAATCAAGCGAATGCTTTCCGATCAATTTCCCTTACTAGCTGTTTTTGCAAAACATTCGAAAGAGTGGTCCTAAACCGTCTCCTCCATAGAATAAGAAACATGTTATACCCCCAGATATATGGCTTCATGCATGGACGGAGTGTGCATCATTGCTTCACCACCTTTCTTATCCTGCACACTACCAAGTCGTGTACCGCCTTCCTAGATCTCAAGTCTGCCTTTGATATTTCAACCGACATGTCACTTTGAGTGAGCTTGCAAGAACAAATATTGGTGGTTGGGTTCTTTGTTGGATCAGAGGATATTTGTCCATTAGGAAGTCATCTGAGTTGTTCCAGAGGCATAGGAGTGTAACAAGAGACTTCGAACTAGGCACCCCAATGGGAGGTGTCCTCAGTCCTACCTTATTCAATATTTTAATAATTGCCCTATTAAATTGTGCCTAGCAAGCCCAACGTGCACATCATTAACTATGCTGATGATATAGTGATACATACCACTGAGTATGCTAATACGCAGAACACTCGTAACTCTGTATTAGACTCGTGTCAGGACCTTGGTTTAGTAATCTCGACAAAGAAAACAAAGATAGCAAGTCAGCGTCCACCCAAGCAGGTGGACCATGCAACTGTTCGCAAGGTGCAACTGTATGATGGCTCCCAGTTTGACTACGTAAATAGATTCAAATACCTTGGCCTTGAAGTCTCACTATGTGGTCCTATTGTAATCAGACTATCGTCAGTATAAAGAAAGACTCGGAACTCTTAAGGATGTTCTAGGTTATCACTCGGGCTATGGTGCCAATGTCAGTATTTTCAAAAAATGATGTCCCTAACATTCGTCAGATCTTCAGTGGATTATGCTGCACCTCTGCTTACTTTGGTGCCTGAAAGACAGCTTGGAGGGCTTGCCACCTGAGCAAGATTCCACACAGGATGTGGGAATCTTCGTGCAAGGTGAACGTCACGGATGTTATATCGATGAGCTTTCACGACTGTTTAATGGGAATTTACTCTCAAAGTCATGATCAGTTTCTTTTTCTGCAGCTGAGGTTACGGCCCTGCAAAAAAAAAATATTAAAATGTAAAATTATTGTGCAAGTCTACATTATAATAAGGAAACAATAATAGGCAGGCTAACCATCATGCAAACTAATATACACACACATCTTCAAAGATTATACATAAAACCTCGTAAGTATCACCTTGTGAAGACATGTAGATACAAAAAGTATCCATTCAATCATACACAAGAGTAGGTCATTTGACGCCAGATCCTGGCAATTTAATTGCTTTTGCGACTGCAGGTACATGGCATCACAATTCTGCATGGGTGCCGCCTTTAAGGCTCTGAACCTATTGGCATTAAGGTTCTGACTGCTTTGTACAACTACCGTCTAATGCTGTCATAGTTATGCTCAGGCTCGTCAGCCCATCCAAGGTGTTATTGTCTACTGGCATTATACTTCTGCTCGAGTCCGAAGAAGTACAAATTTAAACGATCTGAGGGTGGTCTAGTGGTTAATGCTCTGGCATTAACCACAAGACCACCCACTGGACAAAAGAGGATGGTAGCCGAGGCTAATTCCCCATCCTCCCGCCGGCACTCTGATGATAATCTTGGGCATGGTATTTTATCAAATCACCTCATTCTTTGGGGCACACGTGAGAAACACAAATGCGAACAAGCCTGAACAGTCTCCAGGCATATATGCAACTGAAAACTCACACCCCAGAAGTGACTCGAACCCATACTGCCAGGAGCACTCTGCATCTGGCGTCCAGGACACCTTAACCACTCGACCAACACGACTGGACATTCTATAGTAATTCACTTTTTTCTTCACCTTGAAATAACGAAAATGAGCTTTGGAGAGCTCCTCTTTCAGCTAAGCCCTGATGCTAGGAAAATAGTTAGAGGGATAGAAGCCCTAAACCAGAAGATAGTAAATACTAAATATGTGGTCATATTCAGTGAGACATGTTTAAAAGAAAACCTGCTGCCAGTATACACCAATATATATATATATATATATATATATATATATATATATATATATATATATATATATATATATATATATATATATAATATACTGTATATGTATAAAAGTATTATATATAACTGAACATTATCAAATATGTACAGACTAAGTATTTCTATCTTAGTATAAGTGAGTTTAGATACAGAACCGTCAAAGTAATTATCAAAAGAAGGCACCAAACCGGGAAGGCTATGTAGCACCATTAAATGTGCGGAACAACCAGAGGGCGCTAAATGTTACCAAGGATGTCAATACGAGAACAAAGAAACGCATAAGGCGAACGATATCAAAAGTATCTGTTTCACCAAGAATTCTATCGAGGGACAAGTGATCACGAGGGACGGTCGGAAAGCAAGATACACGTTCGTCCTGGAAGTCAGAACATTCAACAAGGATATGCACGACTGTAAGAGGGACAATGCAATTTGGACAGTAATTTGCAATGCAATTTTGTAGCACATGGCGGTGCTACATTGGACTTAGCATGTATGGCCATGACGCAACCTCGCCAGAGCCGTTTCCAACGCTGGTTATGGTGGTAGGAGGAAGGCCACGGGGACACACTACTCTTAAGAGTACGCGTTTTGTTACCAGCAACAGAAGACCAACAACCCTGCCAACGGGCAAGGATGGAGGAATGAATATCTGGGTAAAGGTCGGAATAAGGAATACCTTTACGGGAGATAGGACAAGAGCGGATAGTTTCCTTGGCGGCAGCGTCTGCACGCTTATTTAAAGAGACACCAATATGGCTGGGAACCCAGCAAAACTCTACTGACTTAAATTTACTGGAAATAAGAAACAGTCAAATGTTGAGTCTCGACGACTACTGTTTTGTGGTAACGAAAAAGTCAATGACAACCACAAAGGAGGATTGACAACGAGAAAGCAGGAGACGAAGAGCATAGAGAATAGCAGAGAGAATAGCATAAAGTTCTGCCGTGAAAATGCTAGTCTCTGGAGGTAGACGACACATATATATGTGTGGTCAGGAAAATCGACAGAGTAGCCTACACCGCCTGCAGACTTAGACCCATCGGTGAAGATGGAAATGGAATGGGAGTGGGAAGAAAAGTGTTTAAGGAAAAGGCGTTTCATAACCGTAGGAGGGGTATAAGCTTGTGATGCGGGTCAAGGATGTACAAAATTTAGGAACGGAGACCCTCCACGGGGGCAAGGACGGAACAATACGAGGGGAAACATTGGTAATAAGAACTGAAAGAGAATCCTGCAAGCGAGATAACCAAACAGAAAGGAGGTGGTGAACAGGAACAGGAACTACAGGAAGGGAAGATGTCAAAGCACGACAGAGGCGAGAGTAAGGATGTTGCGAAGACAGAAGTGATCACGGTGGTCCTGGAGAGATTGGAAGCCAGTGTCAACATACAAGCTGAGGGTGGGAGTCACACGAAAGGCACGAGAGCTGAGGCGCAATCCAGTATGGTGCAAAGCATCAAGATGGCGAAGAGTAGAAGGAGATGCAGATGAGTAAGCAGGGCAACCATAATCGAGTTTAGACAGTACCTCTCAATGTAAAGAGAGGAGCATGCGTCTATCAGCTCCCCAAGAAGTATGGGACAAAACCTTAAGGAGGTTAAGGGCCTTAAAGCATTCAACTCGGAGGTAAGAGATATGGGGCGACCAAGACAAACGAGTGTCAAAGATTAACCTCAAAAGCTTAGTAGAATCCCTGTACACAAGGGGATGACCATAAAGCGACAAAGAGGGACGAAGAATGACACGCTTCAGAGTAAAAGTCATAGCATAAGTCTTAGACGTAGAGAACTTAAAGCCATGATCGGTGGCACAAGACGACATGGCATCAATCGCAAGTTGAAGCCGCCGTTGAAGGAGAGACGAATCATCACCCCCGACATCAAAGGGTAAGATCGTCGACATAGAGAGCAGAGAAGACGCCAGAAGGAAGAGGGGAAGAAGACCATTGAGGGCAACCAGAAAAAAAGAGTGGCGCTCAGAACACTAGCTTGGGGTACACCCTCGTATTGCCGAAAAGAGGCAGAGAGAGAGTGGCACCAAGCCTCACTCGAAAGGAACGACGAGAGAGGAAGCTTTGGAGGAAGAGAGGGAGATTACCACGAAGGCCAAAAGAACGAAGTTGGGACAGAATATGATATCTCCAGGCGGTGTTGTAAGCCTTTTCCAGGTCAAAAAGGACAGCAACACGGAGGTCTTCGCAGCAAAAGCAGTGCAAATATAGACCTCCAAGTTCACCAGGACATCTGTCGTGCTGCGGCACTTGCGAAAACCAAATTGAAAAGGTGAGAGATGGTGATAGTGTTCTAAGAACCACATCAGACAAACGTTAACCATAAGTTCAATGAGTTTGCAGACACAACTCGTGAAGGCAATAAGGCGGAAGTCCTGAGAGAATGTCCTGAGGGGATGTCCCGAGAGACCTTGGTTCCTGAACAGGGAGGACAACAGCTTTGAGCCAGTCCTCAGGGACTGACGACGACTCCCAGACACGATTATACAGACTCAGCAAATACTGGAGACGTGCAAGGAGGGAGATGGCGAAGCATCTCATAATGAATTTCATCAAAACCCGCTGCCGTAGAACCACAGAGGGCCAGGGCAGACTGAAGTTCAAAGAGAGAGAAGGGATCATTATAGGAAAGTCTGAGATGAGTGCGGATATCTAAGGATGAGATTCAAGAACAGGCTTACGAAGAAGGAAAGAATGAGGAAGATGAGAACCAGAGCTAACAGCCGAAAAGTGGGAACCCAGTTCAGCCACGACCTGCTCCAGATCCACTACAAGAGTGCCACGGAGGTGAAGGACAGGCGAGACATCTGGAACGAACTTACCCGCTATCTTGCGGATACGCTTCCAGCAGATGAACATAAGACTTCAACACTCACGTTTAGCTGTACAGATCTGTTTCCCACTGCCGGTTACGGTGGTAGGAGGAAAGCCATAGGGACATGCTACCCTTAAGAGCACGCAGCTTGTTACCAGTATCAGAAGACCATAGATCCTGCCAATGGGCAAGGATTGAGGAATGAATAACTAGGTAGAAGTCGGAATAAGGAACACCTATGCGGGAAATGGGGGAAAGGTGTGGGTAACCTCCTTAGCAGCAGCATCCGCACACTCATTTAAGGAAACTACAATATGGCTGGGAACCCAGCAAAACTCCACTGTCCTGCTGAAGATAAGAAACAGGCAATGTTGAATTTTGACTACCACAGAATGGACAGGATTAAAGGACTCCAGAGCCATGAGGGCACTGAGAGTCAAATATAACAACAAACTAAGATTGACAGTGAGAAAGCAGTTGACGAAGACCATACAAAATTGCATAACGTTCTGCCGTGAAGATGCTAGTTTCTGGGGGGGGGGGGGGAAGGCGACACACATAGGTGTAGTTAGGAAATACAATGGAGTTGCCTACACCGTCGGCAGACTTAGACCCATCTGTGAAGACAGAAATGGAGCGGGAGTGTAAAGAAAAGTGAGCAAGGAAAAGGCGTTTCAGAACTGTAGGAAGGATAAAAGCTGTAGGCTACTCTGTTGTTTTACATATATGTACAAGAAGGTAAATTTTTTAGAAAGTACATATGTTGGTGACTAAGTGATATATTTTTCAAAGTCACTGACACGGATAGCGTTTCGAGCAGGTCCTTAAGCTAACAAATGTAATGATGGGTACATTGTAACATAATTTCAGTTTACATAATAACTACCTCAACATAAAATGATGAAATAAATTATACCGAGGAAGTTGAATCTCTTCATTGTAGTATACTGGGAAAGTGGGTAGCACAAGACACTGAGTTAGTAGTACAAGGTGGGATACTATGAAGATGAAATTAGGTACTTCATTCTTCTACTTTTGAATAAAATATAGGTTGGACAATTGTTTAATTCATTAGGGAGTGAGTTCCATATATTGGGTCCTTTTATTTGCATGTTTTTTTTTTTGCATAGACCCAGAGTGGCTTCTCTGGGGTGCTGGGACCAATGCAGAACTATGATGCCTGAAGCCTGCAGTCACGAAAACCTGAAATTGCCGGATCTGGCAGCAAATGATCTACTTTCACACATCAAAAAGCATGCACTCTGAAGCCTTCTAACTATTTTTTTTAATAGCATGTTACTGAAACAATATAGAGTTACTAAGTGGTAGTAACTTCTATAGAGTGTAGACAAACTTCCCTCCCGACAATTGGCTTCTTTAATAATATCTAGGATTTGTTTTAATCTGACACTGATGGTTCTGTATAGTCTACAAGGTTTGGTGCCATCTTTTAATAATTACTTAGAGCACTTTATTCTTAATCAATTTTCCTCACTGATGGCCACTTACAGCTGGCTGGAGCCGGAGAAAGATGAGGCCTCGAGCTGCGCGACGGTGTCGGGGAGGGCAGCTCCTGCTGTCTCCGGCAGGAGGAAGGTTACCCCCGCTGCCATCAGGCCAGCCAGACCGCACACTAACGAGGGAGCAGGCTCCCACACACTGCGCTGTGATGGGCTCACATCTTATTAGTTAGCCTCTAATTTGGATTTTGTTTAAAGTTTCCATATATGTTACTAAGTGTATTGAACACATTCTTCCTGAATGCTAGACCCTTTAGTTACTATGGACGGAATATACAAAATATGAGATTGTTGTACCTATGAAAAATTTGTTTCATACTGTGTATTACTAATGGACACATCAAGTGAAACAGAGTAACCATAGACTTAACGTGTTCTAGGCTTAACATACTCAGTCTTAAAGCCTAATTCAGAAAAAGGTCGGTTCGGTTGTTTGTTTCTTTATCGGACCCACAACAAAATTTATAGTATAAAATGTGAACCATTTTTGGGTACAGTATATATTTTGTACTTCCGTTCATGGTACTATTCAAATTTTATCTGCTGCCCAAATGGCAACACCAGCTCCTGCTACCAGATTAGTTTTGATTATTATACACAGATCACTACTTACCATAGTGTCCATCAAGTATGGGGCGAGGATAGAGCCCAACTTGGATACCATGGAGGCCGTGCCCAAACCTCTGATGCGGACCTCAGTAGGGAAGAGCTCTGCGCCATGAAGGTAAATGATCTGGTAGGCTGCAGCGATGGCCAGCTTACCAACCAGAGCCAAGATCATCACCAGCCACACTCTACCTAAACAGATGCAGTCTGTCACATCGTTACTAAGATGAATGCTAAAATTATTTTACAAGAAGCTAACTAGAAAATTAATTCAATGATGGAATCTATAAGTTAGGGCAGTATTAATTTTGAAATGTACTATTTTCTCTTCCCCAATGCTGAAAATCTGAGGGAAAAGACTTGGCGGCCAGAATTGATATTACAAAACTGATTTATTGGAATAGACTATAAAATAATTTCAAAGTTCGATTATTTTCTGTGACGTATAAATGCTGTCATAAACGGTCCAATAGGCCTTCTGCAGGTTCCTTGATTCTTATGTTTTTTTAAGACTTTGCCATCTGTAAGATTCTACTTCAGATTTATCCCTAACCCTACATAGTATTAATTAAGCATCTTGAGTGTTACTTAACATTGTAACTACCCATTAATCGTGTAATAACTATCATTTTATCATGCAGGGTCTCGGTAATAGTTGGGTTCGTTCTAGACTCACAATCGGGAATCCCGGGCAGCACATTTTCTTTCACCTAATGCAGCTATTCACCTAGCAGTAAGTAGGTACTCGGGAGTTAGTCAACTGTTATGGAATTGCATCCTGGGGAGAGTCAGTAGTTAAACCTTAGGTGGGGGGGGGGGGTAAGGGACCTCGATATAATCCTAACATGCACAGGCTGCCTGTCCCCGACAAAATGAATCATAATTCTTGCTATCACTTACTGGCCGGAATGAATGTGAGAGCGAGGAGCGCGACTCCTGTGACCGTGAAGCAGATGATGTTGGAGAGGCGTCGACCGAGGTGGTTGATCATGGGGATGGTGACGGTGGAGCCGGGGAGCTCCATCACGCCAGACAGGGCCATGTACACGAAGGGGTCGGAGCTGTAGCCCTCTCCTCCCAGGGACAGTCCCAGGTACACCAGCCCAGCCGTGAAGAATATGGAGTACACCGACAGTGTTATAACTCGCATCTTCTTTGTTCTGTTAAGAAAGGAAAAATATGTAAGTGATATGGGACGTTTTGTAAGTGAGCAGCTGCTTGCTTGTCGGGAAGAGGGGCCACGCAGTCTGCAGGCCGAGCTTATATAACCTCATATCTATCAACTAGACTGGCCTACCTCCCCTCCATCCCTCTGAACAAGCTGCTCGACAGGAATCTCCCCACTATCATCGCAGGAGACCTGAATGCCCACCATCAGGCCTTATTCAACGCACCTGCCAGGCCAGACCTCAAGGGCAGGCAGCTCTTCAATCTAATGCAAAACCGGGACCTCTCCTTCCAAGGCCCCCACTTTAAGACGTTCTTTGCGGGCAACCAGAGGGGCACCCCTGACATAGTGCTGACCAATAGAGATTGTGACCTGTTCCACTGCAGAGTAACCCCAGGCAAGAACGTGGGGTCGGACCACATCCCTGTGGTCACATCCCTCCAAGCAGCCCCCTTCAGATATGTGGCACCACCCAGGCCCAGACTGGGAACCATACGTGCCCGTGAATATGACACCTTCCTTGCTGACGACCCCATCATTGAGTTCGAGAACCTCCCAACCCAAACAATCGACCAAGCAGTAAACACCATCCACAACCGGATCCAGCTTGCAACCGAGGCCACTTGTGAAATATCCACCACAAGGACTTACCACCAATATAAGCCGACCCGAGAAATCAGAGGCAAAATGAATGAGTACCAGCGAGCCTGCCAAAGCCACTACCAAACTGGCCAGCCACCAGCGTTGACCCTACAAACACTCAGAAGGGAAACCATAGACCTTACGCTGACCCACAAGAGCCACATTTGGGGAACCCTAGTGAGACAGGCCAACCAGTACAAAAGGGAGCCGGGTACTTTCTGGCGCAAGATCAGACAGCTCCTGGGATCGGTTAACCCCAGCCTCACCCACCTTGTACACACATTCCTTGACGAAGATGAAGAGGAGCAGCAAGAAAAAATAGAAGACCCACAGGATCAGGCTGACCTCATGGGCGCAGCCTGGAAAAAGACACTCACAGCTTCAAACAGCAGAGCCTTCAACAACACTCACTTTGAACGTGTCAACCAATGGACAACAGAAAATGCCGCCTCCCTTAACAGCACCCCTCTGATTGACCTGACAACCCTAAAAGATGACCACCCTCTAACAAGACCCATAACTATGCTAGAGATGAGAGGAGTCATCAAAAGCACCAGAGATAAGGCCCCTGGACCATCAGGGATCAAAGCGCTGCAAATCAAACTTCTACCAGGCAATCTTATGCAATCCATACTCAACCTATTCAACGCTATGCTGGCATCGGGTCACATTCCTGTAGCATTCAAGTCAGCCAAGATGATATTCATTCCCAAACCCAAGAAAGACCCCCACCAACCTGGCAACTACCGACCAATCTCCCTCTTAGACACGATAGGCAAGTGCTTTGAAAAAATCATGTCAAACCGTCTTAACTACTACATGGAGTACAACAACCTCTTCACAGAAAAGCAGTTTGGCTTTCGAGCACATAGATCAACCCAGCACGCAATTAACATCATCTACGACGCCGTAAGCTCAATTCGAAAGCAAAAACAGGTAGCTTTGATTGTAACGAGGGACGTGCACAAGGCCTTCGACAGCTTGTGGCACGATGGTCTTGTGTACAAAATAGCAGACTTACCAGCGCAAAACTGGACCCTCCTCAGGCTGATCAGAAATTTCCTTAAGAATAGGCAAGTTACCCCCAGCTTCAAGGCAAAAGAGGCCGCAGCCTTCACCCCAACAGCTGGAGTCCCCCAAGGATCATGCTTGAGCCCGGTTCTCTTCAACATCTTTGTAAATGACCTACCCCAACCAGAGTATAGGGACACCATTATCGTACAATTTGCGGACGACGTAACACACGTAATAACATCTAACCCTAGCATCCAAGCGGCCAAGCATGCAACTGTAACCCGTAAGGCAAACGTAGAACTAGCAAGGACTGCTAACTGGGAAAGGAAATGGAGGATCACCACTTACCCAGAAAAGATCCAATTAAGCACTGTCGGCTGTATGGCCTTCTCCATTGAAAATGAGGGGGGAATAAGAATCAGGGGTGAACCCATAGCCATCTCAAACTCCAACACAGTGCTCGGGTACAACTTCAACAGGCTACTCAACTCCTCCCAGTACGTATCCCAGAAGACAGCGATGGCCCGGGGCTCACTGGCGAGGCTCTTCCGTTTCAACCAAGCCCCATCCCACATCAAGCTCCACCTGTACAGAATGATCATAAGGCCTAGCTTGGAATACCCCTACGTTCCCCTGAACCTCACCAACAAATCCAACATGCTGAAGATTCAACGAGTACAAAACAAAGCACTTCGCTTTGCAGAGGGCCTGACTCTGAGGGACAGGGTAAGAACTGACCTGATCCATGAGACGCTCAACATGAAGCCAATGAACATTAGGCTCAGCTACCTGGCCAGAAGACAGCTGTACCGTATGAAGAACATGTATGTCCCAGACCCAGAAGATCCCTTCGTAGCAGAAAACACCACCAGCGACTACGAGATCCACGAACCACCACACAGAACCAGAAGAATCACTCTCCAACAAAAAGTGATCAGACATATCCATGATGAGGCCTTCCCAAGCCCTCAGATACTAAGCGGTCTGCCAGACGATCCAGATGAGTGGCCCATCCCGGACCCAATCTACACCAAATGAAGAATAAAGAAAGAAAAAAAATAAATAAATAAATAAATAAATAAATAAATAAATAAATAAAAAAATAATAATAATAATAATAATAATAATAATAATAATAATAAAATATATATAAATAAATAAAACACCTACAAAAAAAATATAAAACCAAAAAACCATTTGTGGTGGCGTCAGAAGTGTAACTACCCTGATGTTTCTAAGATTAGCCTCCTTCAGCCAACTCCATCGGCTCTAGTGCTTTAGGACACCAACAAGGTCACAAACACTAGCCCCCCCAGCCAATGTACTGACAACCCAACATAACACATACGCAAACAAACAACACATACAAAAATGTCAACCCATGGTGGACAGGCCACCGAACTTTCAAACCTCCTCTCTCTCTACACCCGCATCCTCTTCCTGAATTTCATCTCCCCATCCCTCTACCTCCCCCATCCTTTCCATTCCCTATGGACATCAATCCGAAATATAACCTCGGCCCGTTGCGCAGCTTGGGCGGTTAAAGTCAGCTTCCAGACATACGTTTTCTCTTCCTCGGAAAACCCACCGTTTTTGGGAAAAACAGTGTTCTTATTTTAGGTTAATTATTTATATTTAATTTTAATCATTGAAAGTTCATAGTGATCTGTTGACACGCCAGAGCCCAAAAGTGCAGCATTACTCACCATCCACATATAGAGGGTTTTGGCACCTCACAATGGCATAGCAATTCTCAAAATTTAGCTTAATGTCACAACTAAAACAGAGAGCTAAATCTGACGCATTAACAATTGATTTTTTACTTTAAATGACAAGACTTGTTGCAATCCATCTTTGGCAGTGCAAAAAATTTCACAGCCACTGATAATTTTATTCTTCAATAAACCGATCCCAAATCCTTATCCTGGTCCCTTCCAAGTGATAAGAGTCGCAATGGTTTGACGCTTTCTCCTGATAATTCACCTTTCTCTTCGATAATCCTAAAATAATTAAGATAATAATAATTATTATTGAACCAGGCCAGATAACTTACCTGACGAGTACAGTGAATTCGTTAATAAAGAGTCCGAGGTAAGCCAGGAGTCCTTTACTGGTGGAGGCGGGCTGGCGGGAGTGCTGCTCCGCGCACCTCACGCGCACACAAACAACAGAATGAAGGCAAGTTACACACACATGAAGGATGCACAGAAACTAAAATTATACACCCCCCCCCCTCCCAATAAAAAATTCATATATAAAAGTGACAAGCAGTAAAATAATAACTGAAGTAACTGTGGGATTTTCACTTTTTAATCCCAACTGCAATTGCGAGCAATTGACCTCTGGGGGTGACCTCACCCCAGAGATCATGCTTATCTCTTCCTCCTCGCTGATCTTCCCTTCTTTCCACGCATGCATGTTACAACTGTGTACTCCCTGAATCTCATTTGCTATGGTGTAATTGCTTAATTCCCTTTTATATAATTACACATTAGGCATACGGCGACCTCCGCATGATTTATATATTCCTGGAGACGTGGGCGTTCTAACGACACCCGACATGCCAGTCTTCCATCCAGAGGTAGGAGATCTGGGCCTTGTGCACTACTTGGGTGCTCTGTGCACTGCAATAAGCCATTCAAGTCAGCTGTGGGAGAATCTTGTGAAAACATTCTCTCACAGTGACATATTGCTGCAAATGGGTGCTGTATGGGTGGATATAAATAGGAGCTGCCTCGGATGGGCCAATAGGCCTTCTGCAGTTACCTATATTCTTATGTTCTTATGTTCATACAGCAAATATTTTTTAGACCATCTTTCCCTACCATTGTATAAACTGTCACACTACTAAATTACTCCTTTTGAATTGAAGAATCCAAAAATAAGGAATTTAAAATATGCTTCCACTAGCTCTGAAAAATAAAATGTATAACAATCTATATCTATAAGAAAGAATATCTGTTTATCAATTACCCAAGGATGGGGACCAGATGATTGAGTCATGCCTCACCCAACTTTGCAGGGGAAATGGTCCGGGGTACGGGACAGACATAGGCGTGTCGGTATCACCAGATTTGAAGAGGGAACAGCGTGCAGGTTCACAGTCTGACTCCCACAACGACTTTTGTTATTACCCACCAGCTACACCTTGCTAAATATTTTGAAAACCAAAAAATCTAAACATTTATTTTTCTTATGGCAATAGACCATTATTCACTGATCTTTGAAAAATGAACATAAATATTCTGCTATTTATACTTTGGCCATAGTAGCATAACACAGACGATCCTCCACTGGCTTAAAAGACTTTCTCAACCCATGCTCCTTTCTCAAAGCAAACAGGCACCTAATATATTTTGTGAATATTTCACACTGCTAAGCTCCTCCCACTGGTGGAGCACCCACACGCCATTGGTAGACCATTATATTATTATTATAAGAGAGAGAGAGAGAGAGACAGAAAGATAGCAAAAAGACAGAGACGGATATAGACAACAACACAGACGGACAGACATTGGCAGACGGAGAGAAAGACAGATAGAGGCAGAGAGACAGAGCTAGGGAGTGAAGGAAGGCGAAGGAGAATGTTTGAAGTGAGGGAGAGAGGTGGTGAAGGGAGGGGCGGGAGGGGAGGTGAAAGAGGGGGAAAAGATTAGGAGGGTGGAATAGGGCAAGGAGTGCGAGAGGGAAGAAAGGTGAAGTAGGTGGAAGAAAGGAATGGTGAGGGGGGAAGAGAAAAGGAGAGAGGTAAGAAGGGGAGAAAATTAGAGAAAGGAGAGATAGTAAGAGAGGGGGGGATATTGAAAGACTGATGAAAAACAGGGAGATTGGGAGAAAGGGGGCATGAGGAAGGTGGTAGAACCCCCCCCCCCCCCCCCAACCATCACCACCACCATCAAACAGTTAACCAATCCGGCCTCTTTAACAGAACATCACATTTTGACGTATAAATCCCTTAAGGACAAAAATTAATGTACTAAAAGTCATAGCGGCTCTCAAAATTGACGCAATGTCCCGTTTTCCACTCGTGGGTACTCGGTTAGGTTAGGTTCGGTACACTTAGTTCATCAATTTAGTGACGTTGTGAACGCTCGAGAGAACGGGCCATTCAAACACCATTTAAATTTCACACTAGGTTTAATATCGTCGATATTTATTATTTTCAATTACTTTCAGTTCGTGCCTAAATGTTCCGTCTTTAGCCATAAGTTCACTGAGAGGATGAGCGTCTCCTCCCAACAAACCCAATTTTAATGAAATCTGGCTATGAAAACATTAAAATCCTTTTAGTATTAATATACAACACGACCCTGTCTTGAGCGACATTGAAGAGGTGATATGAGAGCGGGAAGATCATAGGGAGGGATCATAATATTATAGGGAGGAACAAGGTGTTCTTCTCTGCAAGGGCGAAGTATAATATAGTATAGAAATATACAAATCTACAAGGGTCGTGATGAGGATTCGAATCTACGTCCGAGAGCATCCCAGACGCTGCCTTAATCAACATGGAATAAGAATTCCAACCAGAAATTCTACTGAATTTACTTGGATCCTGCAGCCTCTCCGAGACACAAACCAAGAGTTTACACAATTCCTCCATGCACTCGAACTATGTCAATAGGCCTTGTGGATGTGTTCATTTGATGCATCACACTATTGTGATTTGTGTGTTTAGAAATATAACTCACGATAACGTTGCTGAACACAAATAACCCAATCCCACGCATATGAAAAGAAAGGAAAATGACGTTTCAGATCGTCGTGGACCCATATTACAGGAGACTGTTTCCCTGTTAATAGTTAGCTTTGCGAGTTTAGGGAAGGGGAATGGCGTGTGATGGCTGGAAGTGGCGACAAGACATTACCTCGCTGGAGATATCTTCCATCATGGCGAGGAGTTGGTCCCGGGGCGGAAGTTGGACGTTGTTCCAGCGGGCGGCCTTCTCCAGCACCTGGAGGGCGCGGTCATGGTGGCCCCGGACCATCAGCCAGCGCGGCGACTCGTCAATAAACCTGAAAAAGAACATCATCAAAACCCGACCTGGAGAACGTGTGCAATATGAAATACAAGTTTTGTACCTACATTTCCCTTCTAAACATTAACAGATCATTCCGTCCCTTAACTTTGGTAACTGTAATACTCCAGATAGAACATTCCAGCATCTGTGGTCTAAATATGACACAACAAGGCCTTCTAGCTTCTCAGAATGTGACAACCCAAATTCAAAATCATATGAACTAAGAGTTGTATAACTATTACATTTATTGAACAGATTAGAATAGTTCTCAATATCCCTGCCCAACTAATTTGGCTGGACGGCAGAGCGCCGGTCTCACTTCATGCAGGTCGGCGTTCAATCCCTCGACCGTCTAAGTGGTTAGGCTGCCCAACCACTTCGGCAGCCCAAGCTTTAACTTTCAGGACCAAAGGGTTTGGAGAGCTGGAAAATGAAGAACATGAGGACAAGGATGATATCTCAGGAAACAGAAAGAGGACGGCGGCGAGAAGGGAAGAAAGATCAGTGGCCTATCCACTGTGGATTAAAGTGGATAGGTGACTATCCAAGCGGACCTGTGGTCCGCTTCACGTAGTAGTTGATATTTAGTTTTCATTCTTTATACATCAACTGTCTACACGGCGGCTTGGAAGGCTTAACGGCTAGCTGAGGGCGAGGAGGAGCTCAATCTTGTCAGTGGTGGCTTGATGGAGTTGCTGTCTTGGAGGTTATGTGGTGGTAGATGCCAGGTGTTGTAGGCTGAGTCTTCATTCCTCTGTCTTCTTACTTCTTACTTCTGCTGGTTTGTCTTCTTCCTGCTTGGTTCGTCAGATTTATTGGCGGTCTTGCTTCTTGTAGATAGTTTGAACTGGTGTTCGAGGCTTCGTTAAGTAAGAAGTCATTCAGGCTGAACTTGTAGTTTCGATGTTTAGGTGATGTTGTTCCGACAGAGATATCGTCTTCAGATGAGTCCGCCGAATCAAAAGCGCAGACCAAGTTGCTTGCAGGTTGGTTAGTGCTTGGGTACTTCACGTTGATTTGTCTTCTGGCTTCAGAGCATCGTATTGTTGGCAACTTTGTTTCTTCTGGGTCACCATCTGCTTCGAGAAACTGTTCTTGACCTTTTGGATACCGTATGTAAAAAACTGGGTTGAAGTAATCTTCTCTTTTAGAATGGTGAGGTCGGTGAAGAGGTTCCTAGTGGAGGCTTGAACAAACATGGGGTGTTGGTATTTGGTGGTGTTTCTTGTACTTATGATCCTATTGCACTCATGTGTCATTTGTTGTCTGGTACTAGCGTTGCCGCCGAAGGGGGCTGAAATGTAGAGGACATAGCAGCTCAAGTGGTTGGGCAGGTTGGGTTGGTTAGGCACCATTCCTTTCCTCCCCGTCCCATCCCAAATCCTTATCCTGATCCCTTCCAAGTCCACATAGTCATAATGACACGGCGCTTTCTCCTGATAATTCCCTTTTCTTTAATATCCCTGGATTGCAGAAACCTTAAAAAGTTGTTAAGATTAAAATTGTATAAAATAGCCACAGGAAAACTCTTGGTCCGGGTTCGATTCCCGGTGGAGGCGGCGACAAATGGGCAAAAAGTTTCTTTCACCCTGATGCACCCTGATTTACTAGCAGTAAATAGGTACTTGAGAATTAGACAGCTGCTACGGACTGCTTCCTGGGGGTGTCTAACAAAAAAGGAGGCCTGGTCGAGGACCGGGCCGCGGGGACACTAAGCCCCGAAATCATCTCAAGATAGCCTCTTGGGAACTATATTTCAGTGTTATCCAATAGTCGACTAAAATGTAACCAACCTCAACAAATGTTATAACAAGGCAAATATTACATATTGGCTTCAGAGCATATATAACAAGAAACACCATATATAACAATGCAAATATAACAAGGCCTAACAAACAGATATTAACAAAGTTTTCGATTGGGCAGCAGAAAATAACATGATGTTTAACGGTGATAAATTCCAGGTACTCAGATACGGCAAAAATGAGGATCTTAAACATAATACAGGGTACAAAACACAATCGAATCTGCCCATAGAAGGAAAACAACATGTCAAGGATTTGGGAATAATGATGTCCGACAACCTAACGTTTAAGGAGCATAACCAAGCAAGTATTGCGTCAGCCTGAAAAATGATAGGATGAATTACGAGAACCTTCAAGTCCAGAGATCCCATCACAATGGTTGTACTCTTCAAATCACTTGTGTTGCCTCGTCTTGAGTACTGCTCAGTACTCACTTCCCCCTTCAGAGCAGGAGAGATTGCTGAAATTGAGGGAATACAGAGAACATATACAGCACGCATAGACGAGATAAAGCACCTAAATTATTGGGATCGTCTCAAAGCTCTCCAAATGTACTCACTAGAAAGGAGACGAGAGAGATACTAAATAATATACACATGGAAAATACTGGAGGGACAGGTCCCAAATCTGCACAGTAAAATAACAACGTACTGGAGTGAACGACATGGAAGAAAATGCAGAATAGAGCCAGTGAAGAGCAGAGGTGCCATGGGCACAATCAGAGAACACTGTATGAACATCAGAGGTCCACGGTTGTTCAACGTCCTACCAGCGAGCATCAGAAATATTACAGGAACAACCGTGGACATCATCAAGAGGAAACTAGATTGTTTCCTTCAAGGAGTGCCGGACCAACCGGGCTGTGGTGGGTATGTGGGCCTGCGGGCCACTCCAAGCAACAGCCTGGTGGACCAAACTCTCACAAGTCAAGTCTGGCCCCGGGCCGGGCTTGGGGAGTAGAAGAACTCCCAGAACCCCATCAACCAGGTATCAGCCAGGTAAGGCATTGGTTTAATTTTCATTAAGATTGTAGAATGTAGTCGCAGATGTTCTTAAAATCTTGCCCCCTCTCATCACCCCCCCCCCTCTCCATCTTGCATACTTAACAGTTTGTAAGGTCTCTTTGGCAAACGTACATTCCACCTGCCAGCACCATTCGCAGCTTCAAGGACACGAACGACAGAGTAATGAATCGTAAGGAGGAATAAATACATCAGGTACATTAGCTAAGTGGCAGGGATAGATACGGTGTGTCCAACTTTCCTACCTAGGTCGTGCTTAGGTCAGCTCTAGGATATGGTACGTTTTCGATAGCACATTGTGTCCAATAGTAAGGAGACGCCGAGGACGAAGGGTATACGCTAGGAGTGACTTGTTACATTTTCTGGCGGAATGTTTTACGTCGAATTTTTCAAGTTGCAAAGCTGAAGTGCAACACAGAAAGCATTAGCGGTAGAAGACCATCTAGTGAAGTTGATATATGGGCAAGAGTAGCAGCTAGTGTGGTTGCTTCGCAGCCTAACCTTCTAGGTATCCTACGATGTTCTGAGAGCGGTCCTTGTCTGTAAGACTCAACAGTGCTTGGGGTAAGAGTAGAGTAAATCTCAAATGCAGTCTTGCGCTCTAAGCGACTTTGTGACCCGTAGAAGTTGTCACAAAGTAAGGGAGTGCAGGGCGTATGTGGTCGCCCATTACTCCGTAGCCTAGTGCAATACAACAGTGAGCCTAGTCCCCGAGGCTCAGGCAGTGCCTGAGTGTAGCAGTTTATTCACCAGTGATAGTAAGCAGTGTAACGTGATGGTGAAGAAGCTTGGTAAGCCAGTGTCTTGGCTACAATATATACCCGAGACGTTATTAATGATATAACTACTGTGTTGCAGTGCGGTTACCTGAAAATCAGGGCCAACTGCTTTACTCCAAGTGTGAAGAGTCAAGTGACGCCCTAAGTCTGGTATGGGGTCGTGAACAGTATTCACAGTTTTAAGGGAATACCTCTGGATCTTCCTGCCGCAGGATTGCAGTTTGTCAGTAGCCGCAAGTCAAAGGGGACCGAAAGCAGGCGGCAAGTTGTACCGCCTATCACTTACAATAAATAGGATTCGGTTTGATCCAGTTTGAAGGATCCTCCTCTTCCCCCCCCCCCCCTCACCCCCGGCAGTCAGTCACCAAGTATAGGCATTTAAAGATAGCTGCCGAGTGGACATTTAAACCTATGCCATGTAGGGTTTTTATTTATTGCATATTATCTCTTATTAAAACCGTGCTTCTGTTCTCCATTCTGTGCTTCTAATTATATGCCTGATTTTCTTAAGCCGAATTATTTATACAAAATATACATAAATCCGTGAGGAACTAAATTTTGTGTGTGGGTGAGGTGGGAAGACAACTACTTGCTATACTACCTCGGAGGGCCCTGGAGATGCGTCAAGCAGCTGACAACAAGGCCAAAATTCCAGAGCGAGTCCTGATCCCCCACGACACTGTCGACGAAGTGCCATAGGAGAGGTATATATCAATGTACGAGTTCATTAAGGGCACTTAGTCTCCCCTCAGGTATTGGTTTATTAATCGAAATCCCGATTTTGTCAGTTGAGTCATATTGTGAGCACTGGGTGACGGAGCTCCTATACTCCCGTTGTGAACAGTTAATCTGAAGCCAGAGTGTATTCATACACATTAGGCTTATATCGAGGTCCCTTTCGCAAGGACGAATTACTGACCCCACTCAGAATGCAACCCCACAACAAGCTGACTAACTCCTGAGTACCTATACATACTGCTAAGTGAACAAGCCATTAGGCGAAAGGAAATGTGCCCAACCATTTCTGTCCCACCAGGGATTCCAACCCGGAAATCTCGATTGTGCGTCGAGAACGAACCCGACTGTACTACCGGGACGGGAGTTACAGGTGACCGGTTTCCTGCTCCTGTGAGCCGAGAGGACGAGAGGTACGCCGTCCGGATCATCGTCTGAGCTTCCCATTCTGCTTCCCTCCGGTCGCGGGGGCCTGTAGTGAGTTGGTTCCTCCGCGATCACGACTGGTCTCCCTCTTATTTATTATTAACATCTATATTGACAATATTTAATTACAATTTTGCCTAATCTGAGGATTTCAATTAAGTCTTATTAAAGTGAGGATAATGCTGGTATTCACTGTCACACAGGACAGAGGTTCCTACACAAGACCTCTGGTCTAAACTGTAGGCTGAAGCACATATAATATCAAGGTTACAGTCAATGTTTTAATGTATGAATATGTAAAATCAACTTTTTATTGTGCACTGCCACACAAGGGCAGGGATGGGTTCATAAGAGATGCAACTTAAAAATAATAAAATAAAATTGTTCTTCATTCTTTAAAACGGACAAGCAAATTTTGGATAAATTGTTAGGATGTTGTCCAGTAAACCAAATTCAATGAAACAGTTACATAATTGGTGGTACAATAGGCCAGGAGGTCTAAAATCTTTTACTGTCTCACATTCAACAACATACTGTTCTGGTGAGTGCATTAAAGGTTTGTTACAGAGTATAGAATGTTACAGAGTATAGAATGTGAATATTCTGGTAGTGGCTCAGCCTCATTAACCTGTCAGATGTGTCTATAGCCAAGGCGAATTCGCGCAATGACTACATCACATTGCCTGGTCCGGTTACTGTGCTGACCATACAAATACCTATTATTACAAAACTTGTCATAACTTTTAATTAATATTGCAGGTTTCAGGTCTCTGGGCATTTCTTTGTTCTTCTAAATCTGAAGTAATTTCTTTAATTCGTATGTTTCTAATAATTGTATTAGATAATCCAAAGTCATAATCAGTGTTTTCTTTCCTGCAAGCCTCATTGGCCAATCGATCTACAAAGTCATGTTTTCCAACTCCAACATGGGATGGGATCCACACAAATTTTGTACAATAGTTATTATCATTGGAAAATATTACATTCCATTTAATATTACAAGCTACTTCAGACCCATTGTGATGGGTTATTTAAGGACTGCAGAGCACTTTTAGAGTCACAGAATATCACTCCACCACCATTGAGCTTAAGGTACTCAGTGGCTAGATAAATACCCAAAAGCTCAGTCTGTGTCGTGCTTGCCCAGTTGTTCAATCTCTGTGTACTAGACATAATCATTTCATTCCCTTTATATACTGCACATGCACAACCTGTTCTACCAGTGCCTAATTGCACAGAGCCATCAGTAAAGGCATAGGATTCAGTTGGTTTGAGATTTTGAAATTGACTGTCAATAGCTTCTAATGTCTAGAAGCTTCTAAATCTAATGAAACATCTGATAGTTTCAGTGCTACACATTTGTTTGACACTGATGGGAGTATAATGTAAAGAGACCTGCACATCTTACCAATGGGGAATATAGTGAACAGTTTTATCAGGATTAGGACACACATTCAGTTTCATAAGATTAATGGCACAACCACTGAGCCACACACTGTAAGGAGTTTTTTGCGGCGGATTGAGGGAACAGTCAAAATTGTTGAGAATGGATCGCAATTTAATCTGAATAGACCTGGGGACCATTATTTTTTAACCCTCTGTGGGTGCTTTACTAAGAGGGAGATTATGACCTTAATCCCACGAGGAAAAACTAGGTAAGCACACTGGCTGAAGTGCCACACAGGATCATTCGTCTTATGCCAGTTCACGCACTTATTCGCAACCACAATGTCACCTGTTACCGCCCACAATCCCACCCACTCCCACCTGTTCACGCCCACAATCCCACCCACTCACATCTGTTCCTGCCCACAATCCCACTCTCTTGTATCTGCTTCTCCCACAATTCTACCCTCACACACAATTCATTTCTTACCAAACTTAGGTCGAAAATTTCATCCAAATATCTATAAATCGGCATTTGTTCTTTGCTACAACGTTCAGGGTAAGCTAAAACTTGAACTAATTAGAGTCAAAATAGTGCACGTAGCCTCACACCTTCCAATAATACTAAAAATGTTGAATATGGCTAAGCAAAAGGTAAATCTTACCAGAGTGGAGGAAGAATGAAGAAGGAAGGTATAGTGACGGTGAACATGAGCCAGCGCCAGTCCCTGATGAGGTAGGCCAACCCGCCCCACCACATTATAGCCAGCGCCCACGGCAGGAACACCAGGATGCCCACTGTCGATCTGTAGCGTGGCTCACACACTTCCATCACTGCACACAAAAATATATACATTATAGCTACCATTATTAATTGAGAATATAAAAGCACTTCAATTGTCCTCAGACGCAGTTGGCTCAGTCGCGACAGTCCCTGGTGGCGCAGTGATAACACTCGTCCAGCGCCTCGCAAGAAATTTGGTCTAGGTTAGTATTCTGGCCGAGGAGGATTGACTAGGCCCCAATCCTTTACTGTTTGCCTCTGTTCACCCACCCATTGGAAACCTGGTTATTAACCAATTGTCATGGACTAGCAGCTATGGGAAGGGAGAGCTCTCAGCCTGCTAGCAGGAGTCAGAAGTCGTCTACTCCTGTACCTACGAAATAAGATTATTGAACTTGTTCATTAAATATTTGGGCTTTGGTGCCTTCTTTCGATAATTACTTACTCGGACATTTGGCCACATTTCTTTACACCTGAGGCCTCTGTTCACCTAGCAGGGAATTGGTACCCAGAAGCTAATGTTCTAGACTAGTACCTGACTATCTACATCTATATTAAGAAATAATGTTTGTGTGTCTGTCCAACGTTGGATGCCAGATACTTAGGTTTAGTTTCACCTACCTTTCACACTTGAAGCATGTGGGGTAGGGGTGTATCATAGGTCAGTCGAGGTTGGCCCAAGTGAAATGCTTTAAGAAATGTTGACATTTATAAAGCGACTGTGACTCCATGAGAGTTTCATGGAGTTTAGCCTGAAATATTGGTTGCGTTTCCCATGGAGTTGTTCAGTGTTTTGTAACTAAATTTTCCATCAGATTGGAGAAACAGGGATGAGGGTAGGAAGAGGGATAGAAGGGGGAGATGGGAGGGGTGAGTGGTGTAGAAGAGGGGGGAAGAGACAGACTATCTATATCACACGGCCAGGTACCCATTCTAGTTTGCTATAAGCCAAACTTAAAGCTGAGGGTGACATTTTTGAGTTATGTACCCTGCCTATGGTATTCATAGCATAATCTCGGAGAGTGCATTTATATTACAAGTATTCCAGACTACTCTCTGGAATATTGACCAGTAATCAGAAATGTGTTCTAAATGAAAAGTTTAGTGCCAGTAGAGGAATTGTTAAATGGCTAAGAGCAGTAATGGTTAAAGAGTATTACACAGGTCATGTGTGTGTTTGTATTACACTACTTCCCGTTTTCTTTATAATGCACTCTAATATAATTTTTTTTAGCCCTCTCCGCTATCAATATCCACAAGAGAGAGAATGAATGTCTGTCTGTCTACTTGATGGCCTGTCTAAGGTTGCAGTTAGCCTCATGAACGTTGTATGGTGAATTGTGATTGTATGGCGTGTTATAAGATGGCAGGGGGTCGACCCCCCCACGCCTCTCCTTCAATAGGATTGGCTCCTGTAGCAACAATCAATGATTCCAATGACACCTGAAATATGGGTTTGATTGTCCACAGAGTAATAACAATAGACTTGAAAGTTATTATCTATGTTGAATCAACGTCAGAAATTTTAATTCAACATCGATAATGTTGATTGGGAAACCACTTTGGCTCGACGGTAGAGTGACGGTCTTGCTTCATGCAGGTCAGCGTTCAATCCCTGACTTGCATGAAAGTGAAAGAGGCTTGAGGTGTTGGCTGAAAGCTGCATTTTTAAAATACGTTTTAGATGAAAAATCGAATAGAGCAATACAAGGATTTGATCTGGATACTCCCAGCCACACACCTTAACCCACTAATTTATAGTATATTGTGGTCTGGAGGGTTAAGTGCGTGGTACCCAGGTTGCAGGTTCGAATCCCCGCATTGCTGGAATTTATTCTCTCATTGATCTATCGCGTTAATGTGATTTCCTTCGGTACAAGTTTTAGTATTATGATGTACTTTATGTGGGGCATGTTAATATATTTGGCATTCATAATTCCCTGTAATTTGTAGAGTGCTGATACTCCAAGTGAATAAGTTTGAGAGAAACAGTTAATATCTTATACTTCCTCATCACCAGGTGTTTGAAGTAATTTATTTATGCTGTTTCTGATCCCTTCTGCAATTACCATGGACTCATAAAATCGCACTATATTCATGGTAAAGTATCTCATCTCTGTTATAGTGTATTATACTGGTTATAGTATTATACTGGTTATATCTTAATTAACTGGTGTTTTAGTCCTTTTCTATTTAATTAATATAGTAGTTAAATATTTCAGCCTATGCTGTAGTTGTTGCTGAAGCCAAATTGGGGATGACAGACAGAGGGTTGTAACAAGAATTACTAATGAACTATAACAGGGGCAGGGGGGGAGGGGGAAGGAAGAGGGGGTGGAAAAAGAGTGTGAGAGAGAAATTCTCCCGAGCACTGCCGGGTACCCCTTCTGGTAATCTATATGTGAGGGATCGGGGCTAATGCTCCAGAAACTAATTAATATTGAGGTGGATCTCCAGCCCATCTAACGAGCCATAACTCATGACATTGTCATAGGCTGCAATGGAGTGCAAGGAAAAGTTAACAATGTCCCAATAATAATGGACGAGAGATAATTATGCCCAAATTTTGTGACCTAATGGCCACATCTCTGGCAGAAACTAAACAGCTTATCCACCCACAAATGATAACATAACCCATTTCAATTATAATGCATAAAAATCCTGATTATTTTGTATCGCCATCCAGTGACAGCTTGTGGAAAAATAGAATGGAGGGACTGCTGCACTGCAAGCTTAACACAAGAGATAATTAAAAGAAAAAATAAAGAAAGATATTATTAAACAAAAGGCATTATTAATAAACACGGAGTAACTGAGCTGCACCAAATGCAGCTCAATGTTGCCAGATGTAGCACCAATAAATCCTACATTATCGTACAGCATGAAACTTTTGTTTTTGTCTCGTTTTAATTAAAATGTTCAAAATTCTAAATTATTTTAATAATTATTTTGTATCAATTTATACACAAACTGTGCAAACTGACATATAAAACCACTAAAAGTGTTAGAAGCCACTTGCCTAAAGAGAATCCGGACTGTAAGGATGTCGGGTGCATGAGTCCCATGATGAAGCGCAGGGTCAGCAGAGCAGATATGTTGGGCAGCCACGACAGACAGTTTCCCAGAATGATGTACATAATCATGGCGAACGTCATCATTGTCTTTCTCCCATACCTGCAAGAAGGATACACTTGTCACCGTTCTTCCACTTGGACTGGCCAATAGAGCGACGGCCTCTCCTTTTTCAGGGTAGGTGTTCGAATCCCGAAAGTCCTAGTAGTTGGCCATCGATTCTTCATCCTGGCTCATTATCCTCATATCTCATCTAAGTGTTATTTTGTCATACTGGCTTAGTGTTGTCTCTTTTAGCTTACCTTCGTCACAGGAAGACCAACTGTAGTCACTATGCTACGTAAGTTTACCCCCTTGATCAGCGCGCGAAACTGAGAACTGACACTGTTCTCTCAGGTCGTGGAGCTTTATCAAGCTCGATCATAAAGCATTATGCTAGATATTAAACCAGAGGTCTATACATCAAAATAAAAGTATCTATAATAATTATGGCACAAGTGTAGTCATATTGACAGCAACATCACAGCTAGTTTATAATATCCAGCCGACTGCAGCAGCCAATCACAACTACAGTTGCCAGAGGCCAACACTAAAATTTGTACAAAATATTACCTTAAAATGTCGGAAAAATACTGAAAACAAATTAAAATTTATTACAAACAAAATATTTTCGTTGTTTTTACCACAGATGTTTCTTCATGTATCAAGGAGACTATTATAGTGTGTGTTGGTGGTGTTGATCCTTCTTTCTGGACAACCCAACCCACGACTCGGTAGTGTTTATACTTCACTAGATCACACTAGGCGCTTCTGGCTCTTGGAGAGGGGCTCAACGTCACACGTTTAGGGGATGCGGCTCCAACACTTAGCCTCGTTGTCACGTGCACACACCCATTCGAGCCGCCGTGACTCCCAACTCTCTCCTTATGTGATATGATCTCCTCAATCCCCTTTGACTTACTAGTTTTCCGTCCTACCCTGTCCACAGCAGTGGTTCTTGGTTCTTTCTCTCTCTCTCCTTCTTTACTACTTCCTGGGAAGCCTCACTAGGACAAGGGCAAACACCAGCAAATTTAAATACATTTACTGGACCAAACACATACACAATACATACACACATACAATAATAATAATGAATCCTACTCTCTGTATTATTTCAGTCAGGTTGCACTCCAACACCATCAGAACTCTATCATCAGCTTATCAAGTGGTATCCTATCTCCTGGTTCACCACCTGATACTATCAACCTCCTCAAGTAGATCAAGTCTTATAATACAATGTTGCCCTATCAGCAAGAAAATATATATATATCTATAAACATGTACAAGGAAAATCAGCGTATGAGTGCAATAACATATATATATAAGTATAAACGTTCCTTGATACACAACAATGATCAATCGATCACCCTATCAGTCCTAGAACACGTACATCTGTAGGTAATCCAGCCTACGACTGTAACTCTATACTTCAGTACAAACACCTTGGTACAAAAATGGAAAACTATCACTCGCCTTTCACTGCGTCTTACACGCTAAAGACAAACACTATCAACTCCCTACAAGTGATCATTTAGAACTTCCCTTCCACATCTGGAAGTTCACAACCCTGATCTCTTCAGGTTCTTCTGGGCTTCACTACCAGGATCCTCTGCAGGTCCTCCAGGCTGCTACCATGAAGTTTCCTTGAACAACTATGGTGCTTCACTACTTCTACTAGGGTCCTCCACAGCTCTCCTGGCTGCTACACCATGAAGTTTCCTCGAACAACTATGGTGCTTCACCACCTCTACAGAAGCACGTGACACTCCTCTTCACTGCTTCTCCTCACAGCTCGAGGTCCTCTCCTCCACTACCTAGGAGTCTCATCAATTACTCCCTCTGTACTGGCTTCGAAGTTCTCAGCAACTTCTTCCCCAAAAACAAACCTGCAACCCATTGACACTCCAATAAAAATGTTTCCCCTTAAACACATAAACAAAAAATAATCACACAATATGTTTGCCTCCAACATCTATCTGCTCTCTACATACTGTGAGAGTGGACTCCCCCGTTTTGGGGCGGGTCCATGCTCCACCTCGCCCGGTGGTCCTCACTCACTCAGGGAGGGTCCTCCGCCGCCAGGAGCTGGGCTCCGTCAGTTGGCTTCAGGCGGTCGACGGGAGAGGACACGCTGCTCGTCCCTCCAGCTGTCTCTCTCATCTCCTCATCTCCGTCCTCTCATTTAGGCTTCCTGCCTTACCAAAACATTTCTAACTTATCAATAAACATCGCTACTGTCGCTGGGCACACGACCAACTACAAGCAATCACTATGAACTGGCTTAAATCGTGCTTACCACAGATTGTCTGGTCGAGGGCGCTCCTCCCTCTGACTGAGGCTGGTCAGGGCACTCCTCACGGCCCACGATAATGTCTCTGGGCAGCTTAATAAACACTCCTCGCCGTCCAGGACTTGAGACCACAACGTTCCCAGCTCAATTCCACAGCTGGCACGTCTGCACACTTCTCTTCTCTTGGAGATATATCACCAGGGGGGTCCTTTCTGACGGGAGCTCAAACAGAGCGCGGCTTTCCCCCTGCGATGTCTGGCCTCAAGTGAGGGTCAAAGCCTTCCAGAAGCGAGCCTCACGCCTCCAGCAAATTATCCATATCTCCTAACCAGTCATTTATCTGTTTTCTTATTCACTGCCCATAATCTTAAACTCCGTGTAAAATTTACCCAATTATTTTTACATATGAATCTTCATGTCTGTATTTCCGACCTCCTAGTCAGGTCAGGCTTGATAGAATAATTCTAAAAGGGGAGACTCGTTTTTCGGCTACCTGGGATCATAACAGAGATCTACAGCTGAGCATTTCACTAAATTTATACATTTTATTTGCGGGCATCTAATTAGTCTTTCAAGAACCACCCAACAAAAATAGGAACCCAAAGTCTGACCAAGTTTCCTTACACCTGATGCCTTTGTTCACCTAACAGTATATAGTTACCTGGGGGTTATAGGCTTCGTTTGCCGATTGGATCCTGCGGAGTCGTTGACTAACAGGCTTCCACTCTCCATGCTTAGCTAAACGAACTAGAGGGTTCAGTTCGTGAACCGATTATGTGCCTCTGTAATCCTTTACATCACCGCCCACGGGATGGGTATGGGGTGCATAATAAAAAAAGAAATTGAATTTGGGATGTTTTTTAGTGACAAGGTCGGTGGTCTTTATTTTATAAAAACAGCCCGAAGCCAACCGAAGGAAAATTGGGAGGACCTCGATAAAAGAATACAATATGATACAAGGTATGTTTCCTGACAAAATGAATTATGTGAGCATTTGAGAACATGCTGGATGACATCCACGAGAGGACTTTTTTAAATTAGTTATTTAGCATTTGAGTTAGTTGAGTTGAGTGAGTTAGCGTTTGAAAAAATGAAGGTATAGTGTCGTAAGCAAATAGTACAGGTATATAAAGCATTAGGCAAGTCACTGATGTATATAAGAAATGAGAGGAGTCCTTAAGTCTTGGTATGTGGGACCCCTGTGGTTAATGGGAGAGAATATGTCATTGATAACTACGTATTGGTGACGTAGTCATGAATACGACTTAATAATGGTCGAGGACGGACCGAAACGTCGTCGTTTCTTCATCTTGAAGAAACTCAACACCTTTCTCAATCAGTTTAAGATAAAAACGAAGCACTACCTAATAAATTCCTTGTAACCTACCTTACCCCTCTATTGTCAACCCATGTCTGTTTTTTTAAACAACGCTGTTTGTCGACCTAATTGTATTTGTGCTGCTTTTTCAGCCATGTTCCCCCCTTTTTTATCTTTATTTTTATTTGTTCTCAACACATTTTATTCTTTATACTCAATTAGTATTAAGTTTTAGTCATTAATGTTTTTCCTGCCCGAAACGCATTGCGTAATAGTGGCTTTAGGCATTGTATGTACTAGCTCTATCTATAAATCGATCAATTTTTGTAAAATCTCTTGTATGTATGTACCTTACCTGAATAAACATTTATTTATTTATTTATTTATTATCTTCTGGTGTGTGGTTTGGTCAACATATTGCTGACTATTCTAGAGATGACTATTCTACTCCTTTAACCCATGTTGCATAACTAGAGCCGTCAGTGTAGTCAATAGAGAAATCCTGTAACCCGTGTAGTAAGGATGACAGGGGCCGTCAGTGCATGACTGCAGCAGGAAAAGTTAATAATTACCTGTCTGAGAGCCAGCCGTTGAGTGGGGAGGCGACGCAGGCACCGATGTAGTACATGCTGGTGTACGTTGGCCTTAGGGACTTGTAGTTGCACACCAGCTCGAACTGAAACACACTCTAGCTGTAATGATAACCAGCTTCCCCTTACTTAGTGCTATAGTTCAGCTGCTCTAAGCTAGTTTTATAGAGTAGCTTTTCTTTAGTTAGAGAACTGTATAGCAATTCTTCCCTAACAGTTTTTGTTATAGTTTAAAGAAACTAAGTATAGTAAGGTAACATCCAATAACAAATTACATGTCTTCAGAAGAGAATGTACCAAAGCATTACTCTCTCACGTCCGAAAACAAAAGGCAAGTTGATAGTAAAATAATCTTAATGATATCCTGGCTAAGATTGTAAATTTCAAATTGTTTGCCAGTGAACTCAGTCTAAATGGAACTTACAGACATTACAGTTTCATAGTACACACAAAAATTGATCCTTTAAAATACTCTAGAATCATAGGCTAACAAATTTGAGTATATTAATAAACTTTGGTTGTGGGGAGTTATGTCTTCATTCCAGCCTACTAAGTTGCCTGTCGAGTCATGGCATCAATTAAACCTTACTAAATGGGTTTCGTAATACAGTTTGGTTCGTTCTCTACTCGTCCCAGGTTCAATGCCCGGGCGAGACAAATGGTTGGTCAGGTTTCCTTTCATCTAATCTCTGTTCACCTAGCAGTAAATACGTGCTCGAGAGTTAAACAACTGCTGAGGCGTTGCATCCTGCTTTCGGAAGGGTCAGTCGTTCGACTTCGGGGGAAGGGTCTAGCCCTAGCTTCGGTAGGGGACAGACGTGTTGCCTTGGCGCTCCAGCAGTTGGTGTTGTTTACCAGTTCAGCCGGTTGGGGGCGGGTGTGTCTCTGCCCGCCTGTGCTGACGTGGCGTTACGATGGGGGTCTCTCTCCCCCCTGTCGTCCAGGCTCAGTCTGTGGGATTAGAGTTCTCTGTACGGGCCGGTTACCCGGAGATTGCGCTGGCTTGTGATATGCTCTCTGTCCCTGTGTTTGAGATTTATGGGGTCGAGTTGGTAACGGCCCGTAGGGCGATTGTGAAGTTCACAGAGGAGGTGGCGTATCGCGATTTTCTCCGGCGATATGAGGGGCGGACATTACCCCTGCCGGATGGTGCGGGTACTGTGACCCTCTCTGATAGAAGTGGTGAGCTTACTTACGTCAGTGTGCATGGGGCTCCTTTGGAGTTTCCGGAGGGTCTGCTACGGCGGTATTTCGGCTGGTTTGGCGCAGTAGTTAGTGTGAGGGTGAACGTGGTGTCTTCCAGTCCTCCTAAGGGTGTGAGGGCTAACATTCGCACCCTGGGCATGAGACTCCGGGCGGATATTCCGTCCTCTGTGCGCCTTATGGGGTACAGCGTTCGGGTGTTTTACGCCTGCCAGCCGCGGACGTGTTATCGTTGTGGTCTTTTGGGCCATCAGGCTGCTGCCTGTTCTGCGCCTGCCGTTGCACCAGTGAATCTCTTCAGTGAGGAGGATTTTCCGCCGCTTCCTGTGGGGGATGATTCGGTGGATGTGGACGTCTCTTCGGCTGAGGAGGTGCCCTCTGTATCAGCTGTTGCTCCGCCTGTTACGCCCCCTCTTGTTATCGCCTCTCCTCGGGTGGTTGTGTCCTCACCTAGTGCTCAGCCTGTTCCGGCTGGTGTCCCTGAGCCTCTTCCATCTGCCGTCTGCTCGGGCCCCTCGTCTTCCAGTTCTTCCTATGCTGCGTCTGTCCTGGTCCCTGCACCCTCGCCGTCTGTGCTGGGTGATGGGGTGGCTGCAGAGCCTCCTGCTGTGTGTGGTCCGGTTCCCCCCGTGGTAGAGGCTGCTGCCGTTCTGCGTCGGGCGTCGGTTCGTCCGGCTAGTGGTGCCCGTGCCTCTGGATCTGCTTCCGGCTCTGACGATATCCTGCCGGAGCCCAAACGTTCCAGGCGTTCGTCTACGGCCTGGGCTGATGCTGGAGACTTTAGTGACTGTGGGTCTTCAAGTGTTGACGGCGTGGATCCGGCTGAGTCGTTGTCTCCGCGGTTGGTGGTGGCGGAGGTTCATGTGCCTGCTGATGCTGATGCCCGTGTCTCGGGTGTGTCTCCTGTTTCTTCCTCGCCCGGGGGCTCTCCGCAGTGGGGTGTGGTGGCTTCCGCTGCCAGGGATGGTGCGGATGCTGGTGCTGGGCGTGGCCTGGTGGTGACTTTACGTAAGGATACGCACCGCCATGATTCACTGCAGTCGTCTGGTGGTGTGCCCATGGCCGCTGGTGCCCTGTGGTGGTGCCCTCTGTTGAGCCCTCTGTCGAGCCCCCTCCTGCAGTGTTGTGCATTGAGGACCTGGAGGCCCGGGTTGCCGAGTTCCTGCTGCTTGAACGGCCGGAGGACTTTTCTGGTGGGCGGGTTCCGGGTGTATGGGATCGGGTGGCGGCTACTGGCGTCCGGAGGGACACCATGTGGGTTCCACATCTGCGGGTGTTTGTTTCTGGGGTTCCGGTTCACATGGTGCCCCCGGTGTTAGGTCACGCCTCCTGGACAACGTGGCTGCTTTGGGAGGCGTTCAATGTGTGGTTTCCACCGGATATGTTCCCGGGCAAATATGTACGCTGATTTCATGTTACTGTAGTTGTTGTTTTTGTTGGTATTCTTGGCTAGTTGGGTGCTGCGCAAAGTGTCTTGTTATGTTTCTTGATGTACTTTATGTTGTGTTTTCTTCTCGGTCCTTCAGGCCAGTGCATGTATGTTGTTGTGTTTGTACCTGTTTTGTTTTCTGATTTGCGTGGTTTGCTTGTTTATTATTATTGTTTATTTTGGCCTCACCCTTTGTTTGTTACTGGGCGGTTGGTTTGGTGTGTGTTTTTATTCCTGTATTGTTTCTGTGCTGTACGTTTGACCTGGTGTTTTCATATTGCTTTACCTGTTGTCCGTGTTTGTTCTTTATGTTTTGTTTGGAATGTATTGTGATTGTCCTGTTATGTTTCCTGTTATGCCTCTTGATGTATGTTTTGTTTTATGAAGGTTTGGTTTTGTGATGTTACTGTGATTGCTAGTTTGCCATTGTATTATGTTTTGTGCCTTGATATATACTGTATTTTTGTATGCATTTCTCGTGTTTGTGTTCTGTTGTGCTATGCTGTCGGCCCGTCTGGCCGGTGGTCTATTGTTTTATTTTGTTCTGTTCTGTATTCTGTGTTGTTTTTATTGTATTTAAATTGCATGCTTTGCATGTAAAAATAAAAAAAAATAAAAAAAAAACTTCGGGGGATGGGGAGCTAAATACAAGTATACATATATATATGAGCTTCCTGTCCACCGACAAAACAATTCAAACACAAAAGGGCCTTCAGGACTTACAATACATTATATTGTAGGAAATACCTACAGTAAGTAAGAAATACCGTTAGAGTAAGAAATATATCGACACATTGACCACTAAAATATCTATAATGAAAACTAAATGTGTCTCTTGGGAGACAAAACAAAAATAATCACCTTTCTTGCCAGCGTGGTCAGTCACATACAGAGTTACACTAGGAACTCTCAATAATGTGATATATCTGCGAAAATAATTACGGCGCGCGTCTGAGGCTACGCAGAACGCTGGTTCGATCCTCGTCCTGATTCAAAGATTTACCCAGTGTTACCTGACCCAGCAGGCGACAAGTGAGTGCACAGGAAATTCAAAACTATCATCACTATAGCGTGGGAAAAAATCACTATTCAAACACTACATCTTTATAGGCCTACCCCACACATGAAATTAAAAGCTATTGGCGACATTTCGGTCACTTTAAGAGGCTTCAAGACGGACCGAAACGTCGTCACTTGCCGCGCAACCCGTCCTCGACTCAAGATTATTACATCCAGCGTTCGACCCCACAGACGCATTCATCAATGCTGTTCATTCAAAACGGGAGTTTTCTCAAATATATATATATATATATATATTTGAGATATATACAAGAGTTGTTACATTCTTGTACAGCCACTAGTACGCGTAGCGTTTCGGGCATACGAAAATCCCTGGAATACGATCCCCATGGAATACGAAGAATCGTTGTTACAACCAAGTACACATTTTACTGTTGCGTTAAACATAGTCTACAGTTAAGGATTTGCGCCCAATAAATCCTCCCCGGCCAGGATATGAACCCATGACAAAGCGCTCACGGAACGCCAGGCGAGTGTCTTACCACTACACCACGGAGACTGGTCTCCGGATATAGATATAATATCTGGGATATAAATTAATATAATAATATATTAGCATATTGTGCATATATAGGCATAGGTTTGGTTAGGTATTTAGGTTCTGTTGGTTATTATTTGTATTTATAGTACGTTGGTGAAGCATTTATAGCAACCCGTCCTCGACTCAAGTCCATTACATTCAGCGGTCGACCCCACAGACGCTTTCATAAATTTTAACATGCTGTTCATTCAAAACGGGAATTTTCTTAAGTATAAATTAATGTTATAATATATTGGCATATTGTGTATATATAGGCATAGGATAGGTTAGGTCAGGTGTTTAGGTTCTGTTGGCGATTATTTGTATTTGTAGTACGTGGGTGAAGCATTTATAGCGTTGTGATTCGAACAAAATTCGTCAGTGAAGCACTTGTTCCGGATATGTTCGAACGTCAGCAATTGTGAGTCGTGTGTAAACCGCTTTTCATTCATAAACAGGGGGTTTGGCGGGTGCATGGAATCACTTTTGGATCTTTGTTTGGAGGACGGGCTGTTTATAGCGTTGTGATTCGAACAAAATTCGTCAGTGAAGCACTTGTTCCGGATATGTTCGAACGTCAGCAGTTGTGAGTCGTGTGTAAACCGCTTTTCATTCATAAACAGGGGGTTTGGCGGGTGCATGGAATCACTTTTGGATCTTTGTTTGGAGGATGGGCTGTTTATAGCGTTGTGGTTCGAACAAAATTCGTCACTGAAGCGCTTGTTCCGGAAGTGTTCGAACGAAATCAGTTGCGAGTCGTGTGTAAACCATTTTTCGTTCATAAACAGGGGGTTTGGCGGGTACATGGAATTACTTTTGCGTCTTTGTTTGGAGGACGGGCTGACTCACAACCAGCCCGTCCTCCAAACAAAGATCCAAAAGTGATTCCATGCACCCGACAAACCCCCTGTTTATGAATGAAAAGCGGTTTACACACGACTCACAACTGCTGACGTTCGAACATATCCGGAACAAGTGCTTCACTGACGAATTTTGTTCGAATCACAACGCTGTAAATGCTTCACCACGTACTACAAATACAAATAATCGCCAACAGAACACAAACACCTGACCTAACCTAACCTATGCCTATATATACACAATATGCCAATATATTATAATATTAATTTATACTTGCGAAAATTCCCGTTTTGAATGAACAGCATGTTAATTTATGAATGCGTCTGTGGGGTTGACCGCTGAATGTAATGGACTTGAGTCGAGGACGGGTTGCTCACAACATATTTCGTTCGAACATTTCCGGAACAAGTGCTTCACTGACGAATTTTGTTCGAACCACAATACTGTAAATTCTTCACCCGTATACTATAAATACAAATAATCGCCAACAGAACCTAAACACCTAACCTAACCAGTGCCTAAATATGTACAATATGGTAATATAAAAAAATATATATATTTGAAAAAAATCCTCTTTAGAATGAACAGCATGTTAATATTGATGAATACGTCTTTGGGGTCGACCGATGGATGGAATGGTCTTGGTCTAAGGACGGGTTGAGAAAGCTTGTTTACAGCCAGACGGCGTACTGTGCGCCGCACCCCACCACTATCAGAAATCACAATAGCGTAATATATTAAATGAACAAATCCACAAATCATGCTATTGTGATTTTTGTGAAGGGCATAGAGGTAGAACATCTGGTTGACAGAATCCGGGTGCATGGGGGGAAATCGTGTGAAACCCCGGTTTGTGCTTCGGAGAAGCTGCGAGATCCTCGTGAGGGCAGTTTTACTCCAGGTTGCAATTCCTTCCCATGTCTGGCACAGTTGATTAAGGCGCGTCTGGGATTATCCCGGGCGTTGGTATATCAAATCCAAACGAATTCCTTGTGGATTTGTTCATTTGATATATCACACTATTGTGATTTTTGTGTGTATACCGAGAGGTGTACTGCTCCCTGCAGTACTGTGTGGGCTGTGGACAATCAACGTCTGGCGGCCGCCTCTTCACTAAATCAAGATCTGCACCCCCCCCCCTTCAGGAAAGAGGGAAGGAGGAAGGAAAGACACTGAATTAAGGTCTGGAGTCTCCTTCGAGGGGGAGTGGGGGGGAGAATTTGAAGGAAGACTGAATCAAAGTTCTGGAATTTCAGGATAAAGACTTAACGTCACATTCGATGCCTTGCTCGCATCTCCACATTATTTTACGTCTCATAATTTATTAAATTTTTAGATCACTTTTAGGCTGTAAATTTGACGTCTGTCAAGAATGTTTTGTATTTCAAGTTTCATTACTAACTCTAGTTACAGGTTTCATCCAAATATTGTTATAGGGCGACATTTGTGAAACGAAAGTAATTGTCAAATACCACTAAGCCAGGATGGTTCTATATCACAGATGTGAATCAGGTTCATGTACGCGCAAATCTACCTCTATCATACATACGGTATTTGTGAATGGGGTTCAACCACTGCAAATTACCTCAAGCCCATCATCAATCAGCAAAAATCTGCTATCAGAATTATAACAAATAGTTGCCTTCAGACAACACACAGCCCCTCTGTTTAAGTCCCTTAATATGCTAATCATACACTCACTCCACACATTCTCATGTGCTATTTATATGTACAAAACCTTGTTCCTAAATGCTAATCTTGATCTGAAACTTTACGTTGATAGGTGGAATAGAACCCATGAGCACCACACCAGAAATAAATAAATATATGATATCCCCAGAGTCAAACTAAATCTGTACAAACACTCCATGCAAATAAAGGGACCCACTCTATGGAACTCACTCCCTGATGAATTAAAAAATTGTCCAACATATGCCTTATTCAAAAGTAAAACCCAGTAAGTACCTAATTTCATCCTCAGTTTCCTACCTTGTATTTCAAACTCACGCTGTATCTTGTGTTACCCACTTCTCCAATATTAGTACTTAAGACATATATCTTCACGAGTGTAATCACCTCTCTGTTTATATTGTAGTTATATGTTGATATAAAATTTTGCCACAATGTACCTTTCATCTTACCTGACATATTAGATTAAGGACCTGCCCAGAACGCTATGCGTATTAGTGGCTTTTCAAGAATGTAAAAATACCAATCTTATGTAATCTCACCAACCAATTGTACCATCTGGTAAAAAAATTATTATTATTATTATTATTATTATTATTATTATTTAGTGGCGAGCCCTAGTCCCGGGCGGGGAAGGCCACGGGCGCTTCTGTGAGACTCGTGTCATCCCAGCAGTGTCCATTGGAAAAGGTTAATGATAACCTCTTAGTTAAATTTGAGAATTTTTTAGAATGGTAGGCAGTGCAGCTCACTAACCTGGCCTGTCACCTGAGTCTTGGGGATGTGTGTTAGTGGCGTATCTGCCCTCAGCGGCCGACGGACATACATGACTTCTCAGGTAAATAATTAAGAGTTTCCTGAAGACTACTTTTGCACTTTGACTGCATTTTATATCAAACATACTCTGTTAATATTATTTATTACAGTTAAAGATAGTTAAGCCACTTGTTTAGGCTTCCGACATTCTATCACTGGTGACACCAAACGCCAGTTCATGGTCTTTTATCTGTTAACGATTCCTTGTGGCCATTCCGATACACATTTCTGGTCCTGAGAAGTAATCATAAAACAATAACAGAGAGAGTGAGCGATACCTCCGAGGTGAGGCTGTTGTCGTACGTCGAGTTGTCGAAGCTCCATTCTGTACATGGCTGGACCTCGACGCCGCCTCCTGCGACCTTCGCCAGATACGAGCACTTAGACCTGGCCAATTATTCCCGCATCGGCATTCAAATTAGGCGTTTATGAAAAGCTTAATCCATGAATAGCTTATATAAATATTATGAAAGTAATTGTAAGACATAAATATGAATAGTGTCACATATTTCACAGAGAGAAATCAGCTTTTTGGGGTAGTAAAGTAGGGAATAACTCTAGTGAAGAACCAAGGTGAGAGGGAAACAATGAAGAGAAGAAGTATACTCGAAGGTAAAGAGAGGAGAACAGCTTGTGAATTACGTGGACGCGGATGCAGACACTTACACTGTGGTGGTGTTGGTGTCGTTGAGGAGCAGCGGGAGGGCACCGTCAGGAGGGAGGCACCTGTGGTCTGTCTGTGGTGTGAGGAAGGCGCCTCCCATGGAGTGATATGGTACCTGCACGGTCCCTGTCACCCAGTGCGTGTGTAAGATTAGATTTCATTCTCGTCCTCAACCCGATATGTTCGAAGCAACCTGAGACGTGCTCCACTCACATCCAACCCGTAATTTAAACACAATAATAAAATCGTAATAACCAGAGCGCACGTCCTCATCAACAACGGCCACCACCGTTCATGCCATTCAGCCACCAACCCCCATTTATAAATGAAGAGCCCTTTACACACATGACACTTCCAGTCCATCCTCATCAACAAAGGTCAAATGCTCGTTATTCCAACCTCCAAACTTCCTGTTTATGAGTGAAAACGGAGTACGTACGACTCCAACCCGTCCGCAGACCAAGACCATTCTATCCAGTGGTCGACCCCAAAGACGCATCACCAATTTTAACATGCTGTTCATTCAAAATAGGAATTCTCTAAAATATAAATTAATACTATTTTATATTAGCATATAGTGCATATTTACGCAATGGTTAGGTTAGGTTAGGTGTTTAGGGTCCGTTGGCGATTACTTGTATTTGTAGTACGTGGGTGAAGCATTTACAACGTTGTGGTTCAAACAAAAGTCGTCAGCGAAGCACATGTTCGGGAAGTGTTCGGACGTCATCAGTTGTGAGTCGCGTGTAAACCGTTTTTCATTTATTAACAGGTTTGATGGGTGCATGGAATGGACTTTGGCCTTTGTTTATGAGGACGGGCTGACGACTCACACCTGATGACGTTTGAACATTTCTGGAGCAGTGCTTCACTGAAGGCCTCTCTTCGAATCATAACTGTAAATGTACCCCACGTACTACAAATACAAATAATTACTAACAGTACCTAAACCCCTAACCTATGCCTAAGTATGTGCAAAATCGTATATATAATAGTATTAATTTATATTTGAGACAATCCCCATTTTGAACACACAGTAACGTTAAAATTGATGAATATATCTATGGGGTTGATCGCCGGATGAACGAGCATAGTTAGAGGATGCAGCCCGTCCTCACATACAAAGATCCAATCTCGTTAATCCAGCTGTCAAACCTTCTGTTTATGAGCGAAAAGCGGTGTACACACAACCCGTCCAAGTCCATTCTATCCAGCAGTCGATCCCAAAGACGCATTCATCAATTTTAACATGCTGTTCAGTCAAAACAGAACTTTTCTCGCATATAAATTAGTATTATTATATATGAGCATATTGTTCATACTTAAGCACTGGTTAGGTTAGGTTAGGGGTTTAGGTTCTGTTGACGATTATTTGTATTACGTGGATGAAGCATTTACAGCGCTGTATTTCAAACGAAAGTCGTCAGCGAACCACTTGTTCTAGAAGTGCTCGGACGTTATAAGTTGTGAGTCGTATGTAACAGACCGTCCTCCAAACAAAGATCCAAAAGTAATTCCATGCACCCGCCAAACCCCCTGTTTATGAATGAAAAGCGGTTTACACACGACTCACAACTGCTGACGTTCGAACATATCCGGAACAAGTGCTTCACTGACGAATTTTGTTCGAATCACAACGCTATAAATGCTTCACTCACGTACTACAAATACAAATAATCGCCAACAGAACCTAAACACCTAACCTAACCTATCCTATGCTTATATATACACAATATGCTAATATATTATAATATTAATTTATATTTGAGGAAATTCCCGTTTTGAATAAACAGCATGTTAAAATTTATGAATGCGTCTGTGGGGTTGACCGCTGAATGTAATGGACTTGAGTCGAGGACGGGTTGTATGTAAACCGTTTTTCATTCATAAACAGGGGGTTTGGCGGGTGCAAGGCATTTACTTTGGGTCTTTGTTTGGAGGACGGGTTGATTCACAACTAATGATATCCGAACACTTCCGGAACAAGTGCTTCGCTCACGTCCTCTGTTCGAACCACAATTCTATAAATGCTTCAGCCCGTCCTCCAAAGACCCAAAAGTGATTCCATGCACCCGCCAAACCCCCTGTTTATGAATGAAAAACAGTTTACACACTACTCACAACTGATTTCGTTTGAACACTTCCGGAACAAGTGCTTCACTGACGAATTATATTCGAACCACAGATCGAATTATATTCGAACTACAAATCAGCCCGTCCTCCAAACAAAGATCCAAAAGTGATTCCATGCATCCGCCAAACCCCCTGTTTATGAATGAAAAACGGTTTACACACAGCCCGTCCTCCAAACAAAGATCCAAAAGTGATTCCATGCACCCACCTAACCCCCTGTTTATGAATGAAAAGCGGTTTACACACGACTCACAACTGCTGACATTCGAACATATCCGGAACATATGCTTCACTGACGAATTTTGTTCGAATCACAACGCTATAAATGCTTCATCCACGTACTACAAATACAAATAATCGCCAACAGAACCTAAACACCTAACCTAACCTATCCTATACCTATATATACACAATATGCTAATATATTATAATATTAATTTATACTTGAGAAATTTCCCGTTTTGAATGAACAGTATGTTAAAATTTATGAATGTGTCTGTGGGGTTGACCCCTGAATGTAATGGACTTGAGTCGAGGACGGGTTGTTACACACGACTCACAACTTATTTCGTTCGAACACTTCCGGAACAGGAACAAAACACTGACGAGTTTTGTTCGAACCACTTCGCTATAAATGCTTCACCCACGTACTACAAATGCAAATAATCGCCAACAGAACCTAAACACCTAACCTATGCCTATATATGCACAATATGCTAATATATTATAATATTAATTTATATTTGAGAAAATTCTTGTTCTGAATGAACAGCATGTTAAAATTTATGAATGCGTCTGTGGGGGCGACTGCTGGATGTAATGGACTTGAGTCGAGGACGGGTTGAATAAATGCTTCACCCTCGTACTACAAATACAAATAATCGCCAACAGAACCTAAACACCTAACCTACGCCTAACTATATATAAAATTTATATGCATAATAATATTAATTTATATATGAGAACAAACCAATTTTAATTCCTCAGTATGTTAAAATTGATGAATGCGTCTAGGGAGGACGCATTCCTCCTTACTGTTTGTACTTGTCAAACAATACATATTTCTATATATAAACTGAAGAACAGTGTACATAATAGTTCCAGTTGCTTCAGTGTAACGGATGTGGGCGTCACTTCAGAGTAGTGGTTACATGTTAGCATTGGTTCAGTGTGATTGTTATGTGTAAGTATTGCTTCAGTGTGATGGTTACGTGTTAGTGTGGTTTCAGTGCAACGGTTAGTGTGGCTTCAGTATAATGGGTGTCGGTGTACTATACCGGGTTCACTATAAATGGATTTACTGAGATACTATTAAAGTGAATACTGTATAATTCATGTGCCCGCAAAAACTCCTTGAAATAATGAACAAATCCACAAGGGCTGTGACGATGGTTGGAACCTACGTCCGAGAGGATCCCAGACGCTGCCTTAATCGTAGGTTCGAACCCTCGTCAAGGCCCTTGTGGATTTGTCCATTTGATGCATCACGCTATTGTGATTTCTGTGTTCCTTGAAATAATACTAGTTTACACACAGGAGGCTGCGGCGGGTGGACTCACAGTAGGCGACGCTGCAGAACACCAGGAGGTTCCACTTGCCGGTGCCCAGCTGGGTGAGGAGGTCGTCGAACTTGGCGCCGGAGCCCATCCTGCCGTAGGCCTCCGTCAGGAGCTGTTAATTTACCTCCAACTTCTGTGTAGATAATATTAACAGGCTTGTGAGTTTGGGTGGATATAAGTAAGAGCTGCCTCGTTTGGGCCAAAAGACCGTCTGTAATTTCTTAGTTTCTTATGTTCTCACAATAGAGAACTATCATCATTATTGATATATTTATATTAACCGAAAGCCCTTAATTTGACCTGTGCCACACGCTGTAATGAACCTATCATTCACAAGTGATACTACCTATTGTTACTATGGGTGATAGTACAAAATATGCACTATTGCACACAAAAATATCCATTTTTTAGTGTGAACCTTAGTGTCAGCTAAATTATGAAAGTTAGGTCATGTCAGGATGGGTAAGTTACCTCAGATAGTGGGGAATAGGCAAGTTGGGCTAAGTAAGTTACATTAGGATAGGCTAGTACATGTAAATCAAAAATAGGTAGGATAGGATAATGAATTGTCTATTAGAGAACAGTTTGAGATAAAGTGGCTAAGAAAATATATTTTATCAGAATAATTATTAACAGAAATGCAAGTTTGATATGAAAAGCTGAACTAGTTACTTAAAGAATCGTGTTTTTGTGAAAAAGTTATTATGAACGGAGAAGTGAAACATAGTAAAATGCTGTTAACATGCTGGTCTTAGTACCTTTATATTACGTTGATAAGAAATTTTTACTTATTATTACATGATGCATAAGTTTATTAGGACTCAAAGTTGCACATGTTTAGCTTAATATAAAACGTAAAATTGTTAAGTACTTAAAATTGTTTGTGATTACATATATGACATGTCTTAGTAAGTTACAACAGTCTAATGTTACAAAAACGATGCTAGTGACTACTTATTTATTAAATGAAGAACAATGTTACAGTGAGAGTATTATTTGGTGTACAAAGTTCTAGGGAGTAAATCTTCATATAAACTCTCGTTAAAGAGTGCAAATGTTAATTAAATTATATAGGAGGGTACATAAGAATTCATTAACAAAACTCCTAATAGAACTATTCTCCGAAAACGGACTCTAAAATTTTTTATCCCAAAACTATGTGACAGCGGCGCCTTTCAGAAAGTTAGTTCAGACCAGTGTGGCATGGCGCCACCTTTCCCAAAAACCAAAAGAGGTCGCTAAGAGGTCTACTTTCCTGGCCCCTCTTTCCCTAAAACAGAGGTTGCTTAGACTTCATACCTACTGCTGCTGTCTCGTACTCACTAGCAAGACCTTTTGTAGTTTCCTTAAGTTTTACGTTATTATGCAAGAGAGAGTAGAGGTATAATGGTAGGGCAGGAAGTGTGTTGTGAAGGGAGTGAGTTCCACTACACCAAGCCCCCCCCCCCACACACATCATCATTATACACATGTTCACCTACTATATTCAAGAGCAGTCACACTACGGGCGTGTTTTTCAGGAGATAAGGAACCACCTCCATCTTCCCCGTTCTTCTCCTCCGTTACTCATCCCCCCAGCCATACCCACCTAACATCACAACAGCTTCTCCTGATGCACTAGCCCATGTGGGGAGTCACGTTCACCGCCTCCCTGGCCCATGTTGTCCAAGTTTTTAGAGGTCGTTTCGTGATAAGCGTTGTCATTAGTTTGTTATTAGCTGGTGGCGTTTGGGATATGATATCGTGTTTGAAAGAAAATATTATTTGTTGACCTGAAAGACCTCAACACCAACCTTCATGCCCACAACCAGGGGCCTCAACACCAACCTTCATGCCCACAACCAGGGGCCTCAACACCAACCTTCATGCCCACAACCAGGGGCCCAACACCAACCTTCATGCCCACAACCAGGGGCCCAACACCAACCTTCATGCCCACAACCAGGGCCCCAACACCAACCTTCATGCCCACAACCAGGGCCCCAACACCAACCTTCATGCCCACAACCAGGGCCCCAACACCAACCTTCATGCCCACAACCAGGGGCCCAACACCAACCTACATGCCCACAACCAGGGCCCCAACACCAACCTTCATGCCCACAACCAGGGGCCCAACACCAACCTTCATGCCCACAACCAGGGCCCCAACACCAACCTTCATGCCCACAACCAGGGGCCCAACACCAACCTTCATGCCCACAACCAGGGCCCCAACACCAACCTTCATGCCCACAACCAGGGCCCCAACACCAACCTTCATGCCCACAACCAGGGCCCCAACACCAACCTTCATGCCCACAACCAGGGGCCCAACACCAACCTTCATGCCCACAACCAGGGGCCCAACACCAACCTTCATGCCCACAACCAGGGGCCCAACACCAACCTTCATGCCCACAACCAGGGCCCCAACACCAACCTTCATGCCCACAACCAGGAGCCCAACCCCAACCTTCATGCCCACAACCAGGGGCCCAACACCAACCTTCATGCCCACAACCAGGGGCCCCAACCCCAACCTTCATGCCCACAACCAGGGCCCCAACACCAACCTTCATGCCCACAACCAGGGCCCCAACCCCAACCTTCATGCCCACAACCAGGGCCCCAACCCAAACCTTCATGCCCACAACCAGCCCCCAGCCCAACTACCATAACCCCAACCAGCCCCCCACCCCAACCTCCATACCCACAAGAAGCCCCCCCACCCCAACCTCCATACCCACAACCAGCCCCCAACCCCAACTTCCATACCCACAACCAGCCCCCCACCCCAACCTCCATAACCACAACCAGCCCCCCACCCCAACCTCCATACCCACAACCAGCCCCCCACCCCAACCTCCATACCCACAACCAGCCCCCCACCCCAACCTCCATACCCACAACCAGCCCCTAACCCCAACCTCCATACCCACAACCAGCCCCCAACCCCAACCTCCATACCCACAACCAGCCCCCTACCCCAACCTCCATACCCACAACCAGCCCCCCACCCCAACCTCCATACCCCCAACCAGCCCCCCACCCCAACCTCCATACCCACAACCAGCTCCCCACCCCAACCTCCATACCCACAACCAGCCCCCCTCCACCCCAACCTCCATACCCACAACCAGCCCCCCACCCCAACCTCCATACCCACAACCAGCCCCCACCCCAACCTCCATACCCAAACGAAGCCCCCCACCCCAACCTTCATACCCACAACCAGCCCCCCACATCAACCTCCATAACCACAACCAGCCCCCCACCCCAACCTCCATACCCACAACCAGCCCCCCCACCCTAACCTTCATACCCACAACCAGCCCCCCACCCCAACCTCCATACCCACAACCAGCCCCCCACCCCAACCTCCATACCCACAACCAGCCCCCCACCCCAACCTCCATACCCACAACCAGCCCCCACCCCAACCTCCATACCCACAACCAGCCCCCCACCCCAACCTCCATACCCCCAACCAGCCCTCCCCCAACCTCCATACCCACAACCAGCCCCCCACCCCAACCTCCATACCCCCAACCAGCCCCCCACCCCAACCTCCATACCCCCAACCAGCCCCCCACCCCAACCTCCATACCCACAAGAAGCCCCCCACCCCAACCTCCATATCCCCAACCAGCCCCCCACCCCAACCTCCATACCCACAACCAGCCCCCCACCCCAACCTCTATACCCACAACCAGCCCCCCCTCCACCCCAACCTCCATACCCACAACCAGCCCCCCACCCCAACCTCCATACCCAAACGAAGCCCCTCACCCCAACCTCCATACCCACAACCAGCCCCCCACCCCAACCTCCATAACCACAACCAGCCCTGCACCCCAACCTCCATACCCACAACCAGCCCCCCCATCCTAACCTTCATACCCACAACCAGCCCCCCCACCCCAACCTCCATACCCACAACCAGCCCCCACCCCAACCTCCATACCCACAAAAAGGCCCCCCACCCCAACCTCCATACCCACAACCAATCCCCCACCCCAACCTCCATACCCACAACCAGCCCCCCACCCCAACCTCCATAACCACAACCAGCCCCCCACCCCAACCTCCATACCCACAACCAGCCCCCCCCCACCCCAACCTCCATAACCCCAACCAGCCCCCCACCCCAACCTCCATACCCACAACCAGCCCCCCACCCCAACCTCCATACCCACAACCAGCCCCCCACCCCAACATCCATACCCACTAGAAGCCCCCCACCCCAACCTCCATACCCCCAACCAGCCCCCCACCCCAACTTCCATACCCACAACCAGCCCCCCACCCCAACCTCCATAACCACAACCAGCCCCCCACCCCAACCTCCATAACCACAACCAGCCCCCCACCCCAACCTTCATAAACACAACCAGCCCCCCACCCCAACCTCCATACTCACAACCAGCCCCCCACCCCAACCTCCATACCCACAACCAGCCCCCCACCCCAACCTCCATACTCACAACCAGCCCCCCACCCCAACCTCCATACCCACAACCAGCCCCCCACCCCAACCTCCATACCCCCAACCAGCCCCCCCACCCCAACCTCCATACCCACAACCAGCCCCCCACCCCAACCTCCATACCCCCAACCAGCCCCCCCACCCCAACCTCCATACCCACAACCAGCCCCCCACCCCAACCTCCATACCCACAACCAGCCCCCCACCCCAACCTCCATACCCACAACCAGCCCCCAACCCCAACCTCCATACCCACAACCAGCCCCCCACCCCAACTTCCATACCCACAACCAGCCCACCACCCCAACATCCATACCCACAAGAAGCCCCCCACCCCAACCTCCATACCCACAACCAGCCCCCCACCCCAACTTCCATAACCACAAACAGCCCCCCACCCCAACCTCCATAACCACAACCAGCCCCCCACCCCAACCTCCATAACCACAACCAGCCCCCCACCCCAACCTTCATAAACACAACCAGCCCCCCACCCCAACCTCCATACTCACAACCAGCCCCCCACCCCAACCTCCATACCCACAACCAGCCCCCCACCCCAACCTCCATACTCACAACCAGCCCCCCACCCCAACCTCCATACCCACAACTAGCCCCCCACCCCAACCTCCATACCCCCAACCAGCCCCCCCCACCCCAACCTCCATACCCACAACCAGCCCCCCACCCCAACCTCCATACCCCCAACCAGCCCCCCCACCCCAGCCTCCATACCCACAACCAGCCCCCCACCCCAACCTCCATACCCCCAACCAGCCCCCCCACCCCAACCTCCATACCCACAACCAGCCACCCACCCCAACCTCCATACCCACAACCAGCCCCCCACCCCAACCTCCATACCCACAACCAGCCCCCACCCCAACCTCCATACCCACAACCAGCCCCCCACCCCAACCTCCATACCCCCAACCAGCCCCCCCACCCCAACCTCCATACCCACAACCAGCCCCCCACCCCAACCTCCATACCCACAACAGCCCCCCACCCCAACCTCCATACCCACAACCAGCCCCCACCCCAACCTCCATACCCACAACAGCCCCCCACTCCAACCTCTATACCCACAAGAAGCCCCCCACCCCAACCTCCATACCCCCAACCAGCCCCCCACCCCAACCTCCATAACCACAACCAGCCCCCCCCCCCCACTCCAACCTCCATAATTACAACCAGCCCCCTACCCAACCTCCATACCCACAACCAGCCCCCTACCCCAACCTCCATACCCACAAGAAGCCCCCCACCCCTACCTCCATACCCACAACCAGCCCCCCACCCCAACCTCCATACCCACAACCAGCCCCCCACCCCAACCTCCATACCCACAAGAAGCTCTCCACCCCAACCACCATACCCTCAACCAGCCCCCCACCCCAACCAGCCCCCCACCCCAACTTCCATACCCACAACCAGCCCCCCACCCCAACCTCCATACCCACAAGAAGCTCTCCACCCCAACCACCATACCCTCAACCAGCCCCCCACCCCAACCAGCCCCCCACCCCAACTTCCATACCCACAACCAGCCCCCCACCCCAACCTCCATACCCACAAGAAGCCCCCCACCCCAACCTCCATACCCACAACCAGCCTCCCCACCCCAACCTCCATAACCACAAACAGCCCCCCACCCCAACCTCCATAACCACAACCAGACCCCCACCCCAACCTCCATAACCACAACCAGCCCCCCACCCCAACCTCCATACCCACAACCAGCCCCCCACCCCAACCTCCATACCCACAACCAATGTCCCACACCATGTGCTATGCTACACTCATAACCCCCTCCCCCTCCCCTCCCCCCACACGCACACAAACGTTTCTTCTGAAACTTGAATAAGCAAGCTTTTAGATCACTGTATTCCGCGTATGTGAGACCAATTTTAGATTATGCCGCCCCATCGTGGAGCCCTCATATAAAAAAACACACACAAGAAAACTCAAAAGATGCAGAAGTTTACGGCGAGACTCGACCCAGAGCTGTGAGGGATGAGGCGTGAAGAAAGACTGAAGGAACTAAGCATGACCACTTTAGAGTGGAAGAGGGAGTGGGGGGAAAAACACGATGTTTAAGATACTTAGAGGGATTGACAGGGTGGAAAAAGAGGAAATATTTACCGTGAATACCAATTTATTTATTTATTTATTTATTTATATATATACAAGAAGGTACATTGGGTTTGTGAGAATACATTGGATAGTACAGTATTTACAGTCTTGTAAAGCCACTAGTACGCGCAGCGTTTCGGGCAGGTCCTTAATCTAACAGATAATTTTAAGTAGGTAATTTCTATCAGAATTGATAAATGATAAAGATACATTGCAAGAGAAAAATGAGATGAGAGAGCTTAGTAAGTATATTAAAGCACATTGTTATATTAAAGCTCTGATTGATTACATTGACAGCTTGATTAGTAATTTAAACAAGATTAATAGACACCATACAGCAGATTGACAGCACATATAAGACAGCAATGATCACAATGGTAAAGATGTTCAGATTGGGTACATAAAGATTGGGGGACTGGGTACCAAAAGATACAGTGCAATTTTAAGGCAAAAAGTGAAAAACTATGATGTTGAAATTAGGTACTTTTTAGTATTGATTTTGAATGATGTAAAAGTTGGACAGCTTTTCAATTCAGTAGGGAGTGAGTTCCATAAATTGGGTCCCTTTATTTGCATAGTGTTTACACAGATTAAGTTTAACTCTGGGGATATCAAAGAGATATTTATTTCTGGTGTGGTGATAATGGGTCCTATTACATCTGTCCAGGAAGTTTCAGAGCAGGATTTGCATTTAAGAACAGGGTTTTGTAAATGTAGTTGACACAAGGGAATTTATGGAGTGAGATTATGTTTAGCATGTTTAGGGAGTTAAACAAGGGGGCTGTGTGTTGTCTGAAAGCAGAATTTGATATTATTCTGATAGCAGATTTTTGCTGGGTGATGATGGACTTGAGGTGGTTTGCAGTGGTTGAACCCCATGCACAGATACCATAGTTGAGATAGGGATAGATTAGTGCATAATATAGAGATATGAGAGCAGAGTTAGGTACATTATATCTGATTTTGGAGAGTATACCAACTGTTTTAGAGACTTTCTTAGTTATGTGTTGTATGTGGGTACTGAAGTTGAGTCTCTTGTCTAGGAATATGCCAAGAAACTTTCCATCATTTTTATTGCTAATGTTTACATTGTCTATCTGAAGCTGAATTGCATTTGTAGATTTGCTTCCAAATAGGATGTAGTAGGTCTTTTCTATGTTAAGTGTTAGTTTGTTGGTTGACATCCATAAGTGGACTTTTTTTAGTTCATTATTAACAACATCATTTAGTGTATGTGGGTTGGGGTTGGAGTAGATGAGGGTAGTATCATCAGCAAACAAAATAGGTTTCAGAATGTTAGAGACATTAGGCAGATCATTGATGTATATAAGAAATAGAAGAGGTCCCAAGATGCTGCCCTGTGGCACTCCAACGGTTATTGGTAGAATGGGAGAGATTATATTATTGATGGCTACACTCTGGTGTCTATCACTAAGATAGGATTGGATATAGTCCAGTGCATGGCCTCAGATTCCATAATGATGGAGTTTACATAAGAGGTAATCGTGATTAACAGTATCAAAGGCCTTTCTCAGGTCAATGAAGAGTCCAATTGGAAACTCATTTTTGTCAAGGGCTGAGTAAATTATATCAAGGAGACTAATAATTGCATCGTTGGTACTCTTTTGAGAGCGGAAGCCAAACTGACAGGGGCTAAGAATGTCGAATTTTACGAGATAGGAGTAGAGCTGTTTGTAGATAATTTTTTCAAATATTTTTGATAGTATGGGTAGGTTCGATATTGGTCTATAGTTGTTTATGTCTGCCGGATTACCTCCTTTATGAACTGGCGTTACTCTTGCTTTTTTAAGGATATCAGGAAAGGTATGACACTCAAGGGATTTGTTGAACAGCAGAGCTATAGGTGGCGCAAGGGCATGGGAGGCGCTCTTGTATACAATGGATGGGATTTCACTGATGTTCCCAGCTTTGGTTTTTAGTGAGTGTATGATGGACACAACATCTGTCGGGCTGACTGGTGAGAGGAGAAGAGAGTTTGGATAGCTGCCTGAGAGATATGTGTTGATATGTGTCTGAGTCTGTGGGATTTTACTTGCAAGGTTAGCACCAATCGATGAAAAGAAGCTATTAAATTCATTCGCCATTTCTAAGTCAGATGACGGTGTAAGGCCATCCTTTGAGAGTGTTATCTGGTTGTGGGAGTGTTGTTTAGTTCCCAGGATATTAGAGATGGTATTCCATGTGCTTTTCATGTTGCCTTTTGCTTCTTGGAATCTAGTCTCATAATATGAAAGTTTTGCTTTTCTTATGATACTGGTAAGCACTGATGAGTACCTTTTAACTACTTCCTTTGAAACTAGGCCACTCCTAAATTTCTTTTCGTATTCATGTTTTTTGTTGATTGATTTAATTATGCCACTTGTGAGCCACGGGTTATTTTTTCTTTTATCAGTTACTTGTTTGGTAAGGAGGGGACAGTGAGTGTTGTAGAGGCTTAGAGTTTTAGAGAGAAAGAGGTTAGTGGATGAGTTTATATCCTGTGAATTATTAAATTCAGATTCCCAGTTAATATTGTGAAGTGCATTAGAGAGATTGCCTAAAGCTGATTCACTATGTAGCCTGAATGAAAGTTTCTTGGTTTCTGGTGGTGATGTGTCAATGTTTGCTATGAGGAAAGTAGGATAGTGGTTAGTTGTTCTGTCATAAATTACCCCAGATGTAAGGGGAGCTGTTATATTAGTCCATAGGTGATCCAGGGTAGTGGCAGATGTTTGAGTGACTCGGGTGGGCTTGGTGATTGTGGGAATTAGCATACAGGAGTGCATGCTGTTACGGAAATAGTCAACTTGAGGGTTGTTTTGAAGACCCAGGTCAATATTGAAATCACCTCCCAGAATGATGTGATTTTTGTTGAGATTGTTATTTATGATAAGATTCCTTACATTGTCAGAGAATAAGAGGCCAATAGAACAAAGGGGCACAGATGGCAGCTTAATTGAGACTCAGATGTGTCATAGAGATGTTAGTAAGTTTTCTTGAAGCGTGAGGGTAGTGAGCAAATGGAATAATCTAAAGGAGCTGATTGCCAAGGTAAACTCAATCTACGACTTTAAAAGCGGGGATGATTGGGAAATAGATCACAAGTCATTGCATTAGTCAACAAGCGGCTAGAAAAGTGGGGTCCAAGAGATAGAGCGCGATCCTGCAGGCACATAGAGGTGAGTACACACACTAAGCTACACTCAACTATATAGAACGAAATGGAAGCATCCCGTCCACTGACCGCTTCTGGTGGGTTGATGACAGCTGGCGACCCCCACCTCCTCCTCGCTGCCAGCCTCGCCTGCCACTGACAGTCACTGTGCCGCACACCATCCCTCACCTCTTGTGCCACCTCCCACCCCTCACACAATTAGGTGAGTACATGGCCACCCCTCACACAATTAGGTGAGTACAATGCCACCTCCCACAATTAGGTGAGTACAGTGCCACCCCTCACACAATTAGGTGAGTACAGTGCCACCCCTCACACAATTAGGTGAGTACAATGCCACCCCTCACACAATTAGGTGAGTACAATGCCACCCCTCACACAATTAGGTGAGTACATGGCCACCCCACACACAATTAGGTGAGTACAGTGCCACCCCTTACACAATTAGGTGAGTACAATGCCACCCCTCACACAATTAGGTGAGTACAGTGCCACCCCACACACAATTAGGTGAGTACAGTGCCACCCCTTACACAATTAGGTGAGTACAATGCCACCCCTCACACAATTAGGTGAGTACATGGCCACCCCTCACACAATTAGGTGAGTACATGGCCACCCCTCACACAATTAGGTGAGTACAGTGCCACCCCTTACACAATTAGGTGAGTACAATGCCACCCCTCACACAATTAGGTGAGTACAGTGCCACCCCTTACACAATTAGGTGAGTACAATGCCACCCCTCACACAATTAGGTGAGTACAATGCCACCCATCACACAATTAGGTGATTACAATGCCACCCTCACACAATTAAGTAAGTACAGTGCCACCCCTTACACAATTAGGTGAGTACAATGACAATGCTAAGTTATCCGTCCTAAGCTGGAACATTACGTCCCTCAAAAAAGGTTCTCAGATTTACATCACAAAGTAACAACTGAACACATCGATATTGTATGTCTCCAGGAGTGCAGAGTTCCCGCAAGATCCTCACCCCCGAAATTGCCCTCATTTGTTTCTTACAACCTCAGATCCAGTAACTCTTGCATTCTATACATCAAACAATCCCTACCCCATCAACTTCTGCCAGAAAAACAAACTGCCGGTCAACAGTATCATGGAGTGAGGATCTATGTGGGCAACTCTGTTCTCAATGTATTTAATCTATATGCTCCAGCAGGAAAGTTAAATTATATTGATCTTCCGGCCTGCGCTCAAGCAGGGCCAACCATCATTCTTGGTGACTACAATGCTAGACACAAGGACATTGGTGGCTCTCGCTTCAGTAACGGTAACGGGAATCAACTGCTGTCGCTACTAAATAGTCACCAAGATGTGCAGATTGTGGGTGACCTTGAACCCTCGCATATTTGTGGAGGCATTCTAGACCTCTGTGTTGGTTTCAACGTCTTTCACGTCTGGTGCACATCATCTATTGTAACAGATTTGTTGTCAGATCATCACCCTAGATTGACTACTCTATGTATAGGAAATACCATCCTGCCCGGTGGGACTTTCAAACGCAAACGGCTCAGTGTTCCTCCTGCTCGACGTGAAGACTTTGTTGCTCATGTGTCAGGGTGGTACAGCACTTATGATCCCTCCACAGTCCAGACATTTAACGACGGTCTAGTACAGAGCATTCAGATGTTTGCTGACCCTTTAGGTTGGCCCCCGCACCATCCAATAGTCGGAACAATATGAAAGGTAATAAACGCCATGCCTATTACAATGACCCCAAACTGCGTACTTTGAAACGCACTGCCAGACGAGTTGGGCTTGCATATAGGGCAACACGTACGCCAGCAATGCTCAAGCTCTTTCAGAAAGCCCTAGCCAAGGCGAGGGAGCGCATGACAGAGCTCAGGCAAGATAACTGGGAAACTTTTGTTAACAGTCTCAACTCTCACACCCCCCTCAGCCAGGCATGGAAGGATATTAAAAGAATTAAAGGCGATAAGATCGGCCAAGTAGCACACCCTCACCCTCTACACAGAGCAAACGAGTTAGTCGATGCTTGGGCAACCACCTCTAGCTTCAATAATATTCCCCCAGACATACAGTTCAGATTAAATGCTGGTTACGGAGATCGAGAAAGGCTCGTTGACTTCATGCTCCACAAGGAAGATGAATGCAACGTGCCATTTACTGAGTTTGAATTACTCGCAGCCCTAAACAAAGGCAAAGCCACATCCCCCGGTGAAGATGGTATCACTTATGACATATTGCGTGTGCTCCTTTTAGTACCAGGGAATCCCCTGCTTGAGCTGCATAATGTGAGCTATGTTACTGGGGAGCTTCCTAACTCTTGGACCAACAGTATAATCATTCCAATTCCCAAGCCAAATCAAGAGAATGCTTTCCGCCCAATTTCCCTTACTAGCTGCATTTGCAAAACATTCGAGAGAATGGTTCTAAACCGTCTCCTCCATAGAATAAGAACCATGCTATCCCCCCAGATATATGGCTTCATGCATGGAAGGAGTATGCATCTTTGCATCACCACCTTTCTTACCCTGCACACTGAAAAGTTATATACCACCTTCCTTGATCTCAAGTCTGCCTTTGATATTGCAAATAGACATGTTATCTTGAGTGAGCTTGCAAGAATGAATATTGGTGGTCGGCTTCTTTCTTGGATCAGGGGTTACTTATCCAACAGGAAGTCATCTGTATTTTTCCAGGGGCATAGGAGTGTAACAAGAGACTTTGAACTAGGTACCCCGCAGGGTGGTGTCCTCAGTCCTACCTTATTTAATATCTTAATAAACACGCTGTTCAACTCTATACCGAGCAAACCCAACGTCCACATCATTAGCTATGCTGATGATATAATGATACACACCACTGGGTATGCTAACACGCAGAACACTCTTAACTCTGTATTAGACTCATGTCAGGACCTAGGTTTAATTATCTCAGCAGAGAAAACAAAGATACTAAATCGGCGCCCACCCAGGCAGGAAGGAGCTGTTCGCAAGATGCAACTGTCTGATGGCTCCCAGCTTGACTATGTAAACAGATTCAAATACCTTGGCCTTGAGGTGCCACTGTATGGTCCTGTTGTATTCAGACTCTATCGTCAGTTTAAAGAGAGGCTCCGAGCTCTCAAGGCTGTTGCAGGTTATCACTCAGGCTATGGTGCCAATGTCAGAATTGTCAAAATGATGTACTTTGCATACATCAGATCTTTAGTGGATTATGCTGCACCTCTGCTTGTTTTGATGCCTGAAAGAAAGCTTGGAGGGCTTGAAAAATTTAAGAACGAAGCCTTGAGGATAATCCTTGGGTGCCCTCGTACCACAAAGATACTTAATATGAGAAAGGAACTTAATATTCTGAGCGTTGTTGATCGTGTTACTGAAATTAACTGTCAAATTGGTATAAAAATGCTTAGGCTAACTCATCCTAATCCTTGCACAGAAGCCCTCCAGAATTTCTTTATTGAAGATCAGCATTGTTCCAAATGGATAACAAAAACTGGAACTCAACTCAGAATGCATGGGGTTCATGATTTGTACCAAGAGAAACAACAACGGCACTTTCCTGCACCGTGGGAGGTTACACCCTTTCCAGTTTTAATCCCTCCCTTTCCACCCAAGAAGCAAATTAGAGATCAGCCCAAGCTTCGTCTTGAGGCAAAGCTCAACGCCTTAAGCCATATTGATGCTCTGTCCACAGAGCATTCTCTCTCTCAAATTATATACACTGATGGTTCCCTACACCGCACCACGGGTGCAGCTGGAAGTGCAGTTGTCCTGACAATGGGCGATGGCCTATACTTTGAGTGGGGAGTCCGTATAAACAACTGGGCCTCTACCCTTCAGACTGAACTATTTGCCTTGATCCTTGCACTGAAATGTGTACAAGTCTCAAAACTTGATACATTAATTGTAAGTGACTCCTTATCATCCTTAAATGCTCTCAACTCTTTAAGACATAACTGTAACATGCTCGTGTCCGAAGCTAGACACAAATACAACAAAATTATTAAGGATGGTAACAGAGTCCATTTCATGTGGTCTCCATCTCATGTTGGGCTCCGAATGCATGATAGAGCTGATAAGTTAGCCAAAGAATCTGCCTTTAAAGGAGCCGTTGAGTGTAACCTTGGATTGTCAATGAGCAATCTGAGAGCAGCAGTACACCGAGAACTTCAACAAGATCTTGTAGATCTGAGGCAAAGTGAAATTGACACCAGTAATTCCATCTATCATCATACTATCATGCAAGAGGAGCCACACATCTATGGATCATCCAATAAAATCAGCAGACTTCTAGATGTTACTACTGCTCGGCTTAGACTCGGTTACAAGTATCTCTGCTAATTCTCATTATCTGCTGATGTAGACCTGACCAAATGTAAACTGTGTCAACAAAATTATTCGCACACCCTCCGTCACTATGTGATGGAGTGCGAAAAGATACGTGAATTTAGAGACAATTCTATAACCAATGTTCCAGCGATGTGTCAATATTTCATTCAAAATGATCTGCTACCAGAAATTTTAGGCAATTATCCCCAGTTTGCTAACTGTAGGTAGTAACTAAGTGATTGTAACCTATCCACCGCTGCTCACTGGATGGGGGGCGGTGTGCAGGACAAACATATAAATTTTGACACTAGATCTCCACATATGTCAGTTGCTTAATTTAGAACCTGTACTTGAGGTCGATCTCGAACCCATTGTTGATGTGATGACTTACATTGAATTTTGTAACTAGCTCATCAAGATTGTAACTTGCTTAGCTAAATGAATTGTGGGGTTCAGTCCCTGAGCCCATTATGTGCCTCTGTAACCCTTTCCACTACCGCCCACAAGATGGGTATGGGGTGCATAATAAATGAACTAAACTAAAACTAACCATAGATCTGCTATTGGACTGTCGGCCCAGGGTACTCTCCCAGGAAGGTCTGTGTGGCTTTACCTCTCTCTAGCCACTACGTTAATAGTTGCCACCATTCAGGCACTGATACTGATCGGATGGCTAAGGGTACACTTTTATATAAGTCTGTGCTGTTTTTTACCACTCTCCAGGCAGTAAGAACCTCTATAGAGAACGTGGTGTTCCCTAGGTGGTACTATGATAACCTTCGTGTATGCTCATAGAGAAATATTATAAATGGAG